TCTTTTTAGCCCTACGGCGTTTACTTAGGGCTTCATTTGCAGCGCGAAGGGTACGGACCTCAGCAGACAAAAGGGTCATCTCATGTGCCATTCGGCTCTGTACCCTTTGCTAACGCAGCAACTTTTTGAAAAAGTGGAGTTGGCGAGCTTCCTTGATGACAGGCTATACGATTTCGTACAAGAGTTGATTGTGAAAGGGCTTCAGTTGGGTTGGAAGGGGTCTGGGACACCCAGGGGAGGGAGTTGGCACTACACGTCCGAGGGGGAGTTGGAGTCCGTAACCTTACGTCAAGCTTTGAAAGCACTGCTTGCGGGTTAAATGGTACTAGGCCAGCTCCGCGGAATCCAGACTGACAGTTTAGGACTGTCATTGTTTCCTTGTATGCTGCTGTAAAGGCTAGAAAGAACTCAACCTTTGTAATATGGTTGATATGGGCCTTGATAAACGTCTCAATCTGCCGACCATACGCTCGTTTTAACACACTATAGCACCCAACATCAAGTGGCTGGGTTAGATGGGATGAATGAGGAGGTAGTCCAAGAGTAATAATGTTGTGTTTCGTACAGTAGTCTTGGAACTCAGCCGATTCATGACTCTCGTGCCCATCCAAAACTAGTATTCGATACAGACCCTTTGCACGAGCTGTAGTGTGTTTATCAAAGTGCTTTAACCATTCCAGGCCTGTTTCATTATTTGTCCAACCATTGCTTGTCGGTTTCATAACCCAGTTAGGTGGGAGGCCGCCGTCGGTATACCAGTTGGAGAGATGGTTCTTGCCCTGAACTACCAAGAATGGAGGAATACTCCAGCCCTCCCCATTAATACAGGCAATTGCTGTAGCCCATTCCCGATTGCCTGGCTGAACTGCCTTGCCTCTACCACGTCGGTCTGCACGAGTAGCACGAGTAACAACCATTCTAGGACAAATAACACCCATCATAAAGCCTGTCTCGTCGAAGTTGTAGAAGTCGGAGTCTGTAACCCCATATTTCGCCCTCATATTCTCTACTAGCCGGAACCATGCGCCTAGCACGTCAGGATCTTCGCATAAGGCCCTCTGGAAGTCGTAAACGCGATTAAAACGCGTCTTAAGGTCTGGTTGTCGTTGTACGAATCGATGGGCCCAGAGCTTGCCGACGCGTCTTCCCCCCCGCGATTCAAGGATAAAATTAGCCATATCTTCTACACCAGCGAGCCGGGGCGCAAATCCTCTGGAATCCATATCCAGTATATACCGAATAATCACTTCCTCTTCTAACTCAGTCAACTTATGACAATTGGCTTGAGAATCTGGGCGGTAGGTTCGGCCAGCCATTCTGTCGGAAAGAGTCGTATATGGTACATTGTAGATCTTTGCTGCAGAGCGTTTGCTTAGTTTTTTGGACGACCGAATAGCCTCGATAGCTAGAGTAATTCGCGCTTCTTGAGTTTGAATTTCCATGGTAAATAGTTGAAGAAAACGTGTGTTGAAGTTTGAGGAGGTAGTGCCAAGGAAAAGTGATCGACTCGGTGATAAACCACGTTATGTAAGATTATACGAAGAAAAGATTTATTTATTATTATATTATTATATTTTCTTGATCTTGATTTAGTGACTTTGTTTGGGAAATATTGGATATGGGAGGAGGAGGAGGAATAAGGAGGAAGGAAGATGGAACTAGAAAGAAAGGGAAGGAGGGCGTAGGTTATGCTACTTGCCAGAAGGAGTTCATGGTGAAGAGTGAATGGAAGTTGTAGGAAATGTTTATTTGGGTTTTTTTTTGGGGAGATGGAGATTGACTATATGATATATCCTGGTTTGAATTTTGAGGTTCGGTCTTTTGTTTTTGTCTTGTTTTTGATTCTTGAAGGGGTGGTAGTTCGTAATATTTTTGGGGGGAAGTGGGGGGGAGGGGGGATGAAAAGGGATTGCATGTTAGGAGTGTAAGGAACCCCTGAATGTCGAGCATTAAGCGAGATAGATTCTTTATCCATGTAAACCATAAACAAGTAAAGTCTCAAACATGAAAAAGTGTACAAAATCAAGTTGATAATTATATATTTCCTATCCTGTTTTGTTTTCTACGCTACTCATATCTGAGACTATACAATGCTCGAAAAGAAAGGGGTTAATCCTTAATGCTTAATCCCATATAACCAGGGTATGTTCCTGAGATTCCATCGCCCCCATAACAATATGTTCCGGAGCTTCCATCTTCTCCCTCTCCCTAAACCAAATCAAGTCCCGATGGATCTTTTTAGACTCCTCATCCAACTTCCCAAACCAGAGGCCGTCGTAACAACTCGGATCATCGATTTCAACACGGGTATAGATCTTTCGCCTCCGCACGGAAAAGGGATGCGCCCACCAATTTAACGTATCCTGAACCTCTAGTTGGAGCTTACAAGCTTTGATGAAATATGCTACTTCGCTATTGGTGCTGGAGGGGGTCAATAAGACGCCGGAGTAGAGACGGAGTGTTGATAATTTGACCCAGAGATTGCACCATTCGAGTCCAGGACCCTTTTCGCTGCCGTCATGCCATGTCAGGGCGCGAAGCCAGTCGGTACAACCGCTTAGATCCAAGAATTCGATGCTGTAGAGTGTTCTGGCGAGTCTTCGAAGAATGTCAACAGCTTCCTGGTAGTTATCGTCGATGGTGTGGGAGTACATGTTCGTCGCGCCATACTGGATATCTCGGGTATACTTCGAAGATACTTTGACGGTTTGGGAATTGGGGGTTAGGGTTGGTACGGGCCAGTATGCAAGTGATAGGTGTGTCAGGGCGGGGATGTGTTTTGCTAGTCCAAGAAGTTTGGCCCATGAAACCGTCCGGGGTGGATGAGAGAGTGAAAGGTGCGTCAAGTGAGGGATCACTGCACTAAGTGGGCGTGCAATTGTGTCTTCCCAAGATAACTGTTCCTCAGACTCTTCCTGAGGTTCTGTTGGTATTTCAACCAACTCTATTAATTGTTTAAAAGTCAGAGATCTGCCAATCGATCCGGAAAGATCGAGGCGATGAAATATTTCATTATTTATTCCGGGATTAAATCCTACTTCTTCATACGTCTCATCTGCAGCTTCGCCGCCGGTACTGGGAAGAATTGCCAAACTCGATAATCCGTCGTATCCAACTCCTTCTTCTGGGCCGTAGAGAGCAATGCAGCTCAGCAGGAGCATCCTATGTGAGGTTGGTATAACTGCAAGATTATTCCTCTCATACTCCTTGACAAACTCCCAGTTTCTCGCCATGGTCCGCAAACACATGTCCTGTAGTCTGCGACCCCGTTTTGTTTCTGGCAACCCGGGGAAATGGTCTATTGATGTTGGGTATAAACGTTCAGGCTGTCGTTTTCTCAGCTCGGACTCGGGTTCAGCATATCTGGATCCTTCAAGGAGCCAGCTGCGAGGTGGCGCAGGTCCGGCAATTGGTCTGCCATTTCTACCAAGGCGAACGGGTTGTCTATGTCGTGGTCGCGGAGGTGGCGTTTCTGGCTGTGAAAGGAGTTGTCGGGTTTGGGGAGGGAGAGTTTGCGAGGAGAATGTTGGAGGGAGATGGGCGTAGTTAGATGATGTGATATGGGTTCTTCGAGCAGAGGCTATGAGATCATTGACGGATTGTACATCGTTGTCTGTGGAATGATGAAATCGAAGGTTAGTTGCTGGTTTTTCGTGGCATGCAAGCATTCAAAGAATACTATTATCGGTAAAGACATACGACTTGAACTCGAAGGTCCTGCGACTCCAGAACCGAGTGAGGGGTGAACTGTTGATGGCGGTTTTGTGTAATAGTTGGACGTGCGTTTTTTGGGCATCGAGGAAGAGTTGCGACAAACTCACGAGTGTGGTTCCTCAATTCTTGTGAGGTTGCGTTGCGTTGCTTTTGACAGCGGCAGTGAATGCCCCTCCCCCTCTCCTTGCCTACTGGGATGACATAACGCATCAGTGGAGTCACTGTGAGCACGAGCCTGAAAGTGGCTAGTGCAGCGTGGCGCTGTGTGGCGTGGCTTACCCGAGTTTGTGTTACTCATAGAAAAGTGGAGCCGCATTTGATGGCTTGAGTGAATCACCTCCCTTGTCTTGAGACCAGACTCACCACCTGCATTGTTCCTAGTGCTCCTTCCCTCACTTCACTGTCACTGGCTTGGCTTGTCCTGGCCTGGCTGCAAACAATGCAATAGTCTCGAGGTCAATCCTCCCAATTCTCTTCCTACGATACCAGAACTGCGCAGTTGATTTGAGGAAAAGACTTATATGCTCCCTGGATTGAGCGTAACATATCTCAATAGACTTATTTCACCGAAACATTTGGAGTACCTACCTAGGTAGTAGGGAACTTTTAATCATATGTACAGTTCGGCTTCGCTTCTTTTAGAGAATTGAATTGAAGTAACAAGTCAAACTGCAGAGACTGCAGTCAATGAGCAAATGGAATACATGGAATCAACACTTTCAAGCTACCTAGAGATGTGACGAAGGGAAGCAAGATTTGAATAAAGCTTCCTCGGCTAAAGCGTCCGGCCTCCTACTCATTTTATCATTTTCTTTTGTCATCATCCTATTATCTCGTTTCATCAGTTGCTTTCGTTGAACTGTTATCAATAGGTATGTTAAGGTTTACATAGCCATATAAACTTGCAAGGTTCTCCTCCAATCATTTCGCTACTCATACAGAAGCTAATGGATCAGTAAGAACAATAGCCCTCACTTCAATACTTTGTCGACTTTTCGCATCCGGTCTTGCAATAGGAGACTTGAATGAGGTATGTGGGCAATCTGAATGTAAGAGGGTTAAGTTAGTGATTAAAGATAATCCTTTGAGGAATTAGAATTCCAACTTACAGTGCGCTCTAACGTCAGGTTTTGTGTCAAACTGCTTGAAGATCCAGACTTCATCTAGTTTTTGCTGTGGGAGATAGTGCCATCTATTGGAGTTTCGATGTATTATATATAGGTTTGAACTCAAATGCCCAGCCCTCACAATGTCTGTCTCCACAAGAGAGGATGCATCAACAGTGCTTCCATCACATAGGGCTAGTGGCCAATCTTCCACAACGTGATTTACTGGTTGCCAGACACTAGAGTCACGTTAACTTCTGCATGTTAATATTCTATTAAGAGAGGGAGCATACTTCACAATTCGAATACGTGACTTGAAAGCCTCGGATGCTTCCTCTCCAAGTTGGAGCTTCACTCGCTTGATAGCAGAAATAGCCGAGGTGTCTGGTAGAGTTAATTTAAAAATCTCCATGGCCTAAAATGGAGTGACATACCTATATGTGCTGCATTCGTCGGCTTCAACGGAGCTGAATAATCCCGCAAGTCGATGAATTTCTTGTGTGCTTCATCATCACCACGGCGAACCTAAGATTTGGTCAGCGACTGTTGTAGCAACACCAGAAGTCCAAACAGACTCTCCAATCAAAGATGAACACCCTATCTGCACCTTCCACTTTCTCCTTGAGTAAGTTTTCCACTGCTGGCAGGTGTACACCCTGGATCGTAGCTTTGTCAAGTGTTCCCGTGAACGGAGGAAGATTGGAAACCATGAATCCTTGGTTATCTAGAGTAAAAAAGTGTTCTTTTCCACGTATATCTTCAATGGAAACCTCGATGTCCTCAAAAACGATGTTGGTCTTTCTCTGCTCCCTGACTTCAGCGGGCATGTCGAGAAAGATGTTGAAGGGTTTTTCTGTGTTGTAGAGGTCCTGCCACTTCAAAAATTGTACTGAAGCTTGAACATTCTGAGCCGCCATTTTTTGAAGTCTTCAATTTGTGATATCTGGCTATGTTATTCCTCGATGCACAAAAGCTTTTCGATGAACAGATCTCAACCTAAAAGGATGGGAAAAAGTTGTTGAAGTCAAACTCCTGGACGTTGCACTCCACAATCCCTTTTCGCTGAGAGAGTTGCGTCAGCTTACTGTGTGTAATGGGTCTTGCTTCGTATCATCGTGACAATACCAACGAAGTTTTATGTAACGAAATTTACGGCGCAGTAGTAGGTATCCACATCATGTCACACGCGGTGACCGATTTGGAAGATGCCCCCTGCAAGGAACTGATACTCAAGATGTTCTAATACAAGATAAGCTAAAAATACATTAATGATTCAGCTGCACGCAGTACGGAACCAAAGCCACCAACAAAAAGTTGTTTACCAAAATGACAGTGGGGTTTGATCAAGAGTAGAAGCCTTTCGCTTATCACCCCCACGCAACTGAATGAAGCCCTATATGCAGCCGGACGATATGAAGTATATGCATGCCTTCGCATTTGGGCAACTATTTCAAGCGCTTCTTATGTTTCTAACCAAGCCTACGCGGTTCCTGATAAGCCGTGCCGCAGCATTATACTCATGTGACTTCTGAGCTAGCCGTCTTCTGCGCTTTTAGGGAATTTCGATCAGTCGCCCTTACTTCGCCGTCAACAAAAGCTCCTTTGAGGTGCTTTATCTCACCAACAGTCGCATCACAGGATGTTGCTGTGTCTTGCTTCCAGCAAGTAAGCGATTTGTTCTGCGTAGTTGCTGTGTCCGATTGGTGTTTCCAAAACCTTTTGGCTCTGCATGAATGTGTACTTTCGCGCTAACTCTTCACACTGGCTTAGCTCTGGTGCCACCAACAACTGCTAGATAGGAAATCATACATTTGAGATTTCAATAGTAGCCGAGCTCGCTCCCGAAAAGCCCGAAAAGAAGTATATAATGATAACCTTTCCCAACTTTTCAAAGACATCATTCTCAAATCCACAATTTACACACTTCCAGAATCAAACCACCAAACACACCCGGTACGTATCTAAACTGGCCGAAAAACATGTATCATACAAGTTCCTAACATCCAAAAGCATCTCCACCACTTCAAAATGCCTTCTTCCACCTTCGAAACCACCGTTCAGCAAATTCTCCAAGCTGAGAACGAAGACCAACGCAGCCAACCATGGAAGAAAGAGATGAAGGGCCTCATTGAGACACCAGTCAATGATGCAAGTGAAGTTATTCAGACCGGAGGGGCTTGTGATGTGCTGAAGTTTATTTTCCCTTGCTAGGTTGTGCGAATGTATGTTGGAGTCCAGTATCCATTCGCTATGTCGGAATACAGGCTGATTGAGAGGTGAATTAGGTTGATAGATGTTTGAGTTCTTTGGGAGAAGAGAAATGTTTACCCAGGATCTTGTTTGCATTGTAGAAGGGAGGTGTTATCAGTATAAATTCAAGAGACGTTTATCTTAACCGTTCTCTCGGATCCTCACAAATGACCAATCTTTTCGAGCACTTTCCTTTCTGACCTCGTCGGTAACTTCCTTCAGACTCCGTATCAAGCTGTTGGACCTTAAAACAAGCGATTTATAACACCAGCTCATTACATCGTGCACAAGCTGACCAGCATTCTGCCAACAGTCTGAGGAGAAGTGACTTAGTTCGGCTTTGTTGGGACTCGCTGAATAACAGGAGGTCCATGATCCAAGCGCCCAAAGAAACCCAAGTATACAACGTCTGCAATTAATTCACTTGGAAAAACAATCTTATATGGCATAAGCATCCCATCCATGTATCGTAGGATTTTTGAATCGCAAGGACCCAATTGTTTAAACCCGATCTCAATTTATCGATTTTGCCTTTTTGTGGAGACTGTTGTAGTGATAGAGGGTAGTGCGACACCAGGCGCAATTCCGTTGCATTGTGCCTCTCGGTGGTCCATTGTGCCAGCGTATACGAGAAATATGCGTATTAGACGTCTAGTATGCGTATTAGGTAGCACTTTGATTTTTTGATTGATTCCGCGTATATATACGCAAAATCGCTTTGAAACTGTATATGCGTATAAGAATATGCGTATATAAGGTACAAATACAGATCAAATAAGGCTATTCCCACCTACTTTGGCCCCACTTTTTTAGGTCTCCTAGCACCTTTACAAGCACCACCACGCCCCCCTGGCCCACTTTTTTACCCCTTTTGGCCCTAGGAGCCCTAGCTCGCTTAACTATAATTTCGACTTCACCTTCCTGATCCTGGTTCTCTAATACGTCTTTAAACTCGTCCCTACTTGATCCCTTACTTTGCCCCTCATTTTGCCCCCTATTNGGAGCCCTAGCTCGCTTAACTATAATTTCGACTTCACCTTCCTGATCCTGGTTCTCTAATACGTCTTTAAACTCGTCCCTACTTGATCCCTTACTTTGCCCCTCATTTTGCCCCCTATTCGCTTGCCCCTAACTCGCTATACCCCCCCTTAATTACCCCCCCTCTTACGCTTTCGAGACGCTCTTTGTATAGCAGATACCCCCCTTCGATCATTCGCTAAAGCCTAGTACTCGCTTAAAACAACCTTTTTCTCCTTCTTAGCCTTACTTGTACTTATAACCTTAATATCCTTATCAGGTGTCCCCTCCTCCGCATTCAGCTGGCTATACTGAAATCGGCCCTTAATAAGTCCGAAGGCACAGGTAAGTTGGTAGCCGCTAGTACTATATACTACTACCCTGTACTATAGCGTCATATTTTGCTAGAGAGTCTATACTGAATTAGGACAAAAAGTGTGACAAAGGCACCTAGTTGATATACGTTACTTTTATTTAACCTATTTTTCCGGTTAATTCTGTTAGCTTTAGCCTTGTTTTTAGCGGTAACACGCTGTTTAATAGCTGACAGAATAAGAGCCTGATCCTCTTCGGTATCCTCAATTCTCTTGAGAGGCTCGTCTGGATTACTAAATATTATTTAGTAATTAAGCGAAAGGGGGGGAGGGGGTATTTATATATTATTAATGTTAGCTAGCTAATACAGTTTCCGACTAAAAAAGACCTTGAAGGGAGTAGTGTATACTAGTAGCGAGGATACTCAGGTAGTGTTTATCGTAAGCTATAGTTCCAGTAAAAGTGCGACCCATTCTTGTCGATTAGGGCCTCCCCGCTTATATCTTAGTACCGCGAGCCGTTCCTTGAAGTTCTTATTGCCTTGTTCTACTGTACCCTGGCTTTGAGGGTGATATGGCCGGCCAGCGACCTGTGGAATCGGTAGGAGCCTAGACTGTAGGAACTCGGTTACATGTTTCTGGAATTCTCCTCTATTGTTGTTGCACACGAGTCTAGGATCACTATAGTAGGACACCTAGTTAGCTAAGAAGAAATAGTTTGCCTAATATCATAGAAATATACCCCCCTATACCTACTTAAAGCTACCGAAACCTCCTCGCTTAGCTTAGATTTCAGGGGATAAAACTAGGATATTCGAGAGAAGTAGTATCGAGCATATAGGATATATATAAAATACTCTAATTCGTTACTATCAGGGCCAGGAGGGGGGTCTAGCTGTAAGGTAAAGTCTATAAGGTTAATATAAACTCGGTCAGCGCATCGACGTAATACTATTACTATAGTAATCTCTTTTTCGGTATTGCCTTTATTAGCGAGAGAGAGCCAGGGGGTAGGGGGGGTAACGTACTAACGTGATTAAGTACCTGGTAGACCCGAGTAATAATCTCCTAGCTGTCCTAGGTATAAGCCGTATATCGCTTACCATATTAAGTACCACGAATCACTTCTAGGCGACGATAAACTTAGTTATTATCTAAGATAAAGGAGTCTCTCACGCGCTTTCTCTATGAAGTTAACCGAGCTCGCTCTACCTTTGTGATTCCGTTAGAGTACTAATAGTCGTTATCGAGTATATCTTTTAAGATAAATCGAGTTATCGAGGTTAAAACTCGACTATTTGATAAAGAAGCTAGATAATTCTTATAAGCGTCTTTTAAAAGTAGGTTAAACACGACTATTCGAGGCGCTTCTGCACTAGGGGCAGGAAAATAAGGTAAATAGTATGCCCTATAGGGGGACGAGTAAGGGTCGGCAATATCGATATTCATAGTAAAAGTAGGGCAAATAAGGGGTAAAAAGTATCGAATTATTAGAATCTAGAAAACAAAAGTAAAGAAGGGACTTAAATCCTTATACTCCCAAAGGTTATACTAGTTTACCTGTGAGAGGCCAGACCTCGAATAGCTCAAAGGTGTGGTTTCGAATATTCAATTAAGAAGTGCGTGAAGACTACATACATGCAATCTCTTCCTCTATATATAGAGAGAGGAAGAGTTTCTGGAGTCTTCCAAGAAACTGTTTGACAAATACGTGACGTCAAAAGAATAGAGTAGAAAAGTGTAGAAAAGGAGAAACCAATTTAGCAGTGGAGCAATGGCCAATGCTGAGCGGGGACTTTGGTCAGTGCTTAGCGAGGGCATGGCCCGAGCCTCCATCATGGGTTCCAACCCTCACATTACCTACTAAAAAGTTAGTTGTGCTATATCCCAGCCCCTTAATCACTCCCCAGCCTCCCCCCTTTACTTAGCGAGTTACTAAAAGATCTAACCCCTGGGCTCTCGAGTACTAAAAAATGGCCTTGTAGTAGTATTATATACGTATAGTATAGTTTTTGTACGTATCAGATATTCCTAGGCTAAAAGTACGTTTATTTCAGCCCCTAGTTATGCTAGATAAAGGGGGTGGGATAAGGTGCCATAGCGATACGAGCGCTTAGGTTGATCTAATAAATCAAAACAACCTAGGAGTGTAGATCGGTTTGATTAAATTAGTCCGAAATACGCTCGCAAAGCTTGAATTCCAATACGCATATTCGACATCTAATACGTGGATCAGACGTCCGATACGCGTATTCCTCGTATACGCTGGCACAATGGACCATCGGAAGCAAACCCACTTCTTTCGAAATAACTCGAAACCGGTAACAATTGTGGACCCTAGGGATAAAACTACCGGACCAAGCAAAACACACATTGAGCTAAGAGGTTGTCTTTCGAGGCGATCCAGCCACTGATTTGAAAGGGTTCATACCTGCATTTTACGGGGGTACTACGTTGTCAGGGAGATGTTTTCTCTATGGCCTCCAGGATTTCACGTATTAAACTACTATGACAATAGATCGCATTTCTCATTGATTTCGATTGAGGTTCCCCAAGGCATGGAGAATCCCATCCTCTTGTCGCTTGCCGAAACCCTACCAAGTAGAAGCTGATCACAGCATGACTCGCGAGAAGGAAGGAGCAAAGGAAAAAGGGGAGAACGGATCCTCGTCAGCCTACTTGCTACTCCCGTAGCTAGAACAAAACGAGATTTCCGTAGGATGCTTTGTTGCAAATCGTAGCCTAACGGAATTCTCCGTAGTCCCCTTCTAGACTACATGCTCAACGCAGGTTCCGTCTATGATGAGTCCCATCGCGGGACGATCCCTTTGGTCTAAAGACATGTGATGTGACATGCCAAATCCCCGAATCAGAAGAAACTCGGAGACGATTTACGCAAGAGAAGAAATAGCGCAACGACTCCTGAAAATTAGCAAATTAACTTATAAGATATGTCATGCGAACCAATACGAAAAAGTCGTAACCGTTCATCCCTTTTCTTTACAAAGCGTGACGTGCGAGAGATTAAGCTTTTTGAAAACCTTAAGCGAATGTTTCCTTCGCATCAGAATCTTTCGAGTCAAAATCAGAGAAGGTTACTACCTAAAACTAACAGGACGGCTGCTCACCCAGTGTCTTGCAGAAAAGAATTGCACGTCGCACTGGTGGCACAAGACCAAGTACAATACACCAGCCTGGAGTCTAGGCCGACATCGCTCAAGAAAAGCTTAAATTTGACTTTCCAACGATCTCCGAAAAGGAAAGGCGCTACAACACCCAAACAAACGAGTCTAGATCACGGTGCTCTCGAGTTCCCCAGAAATAAGCCCTGGGCTTCTCGCGTGGAACCTGGAATGTTTTGTTGCATATCGAAATTTGATGATCGATATCTGAACATGGGATTGTACATGGAAAAGATGAGGTATGACGCAATCTGCAAGGGGAAGGGACAAATGGTAAAAGCTAGCCTGTGAGCTTATAGCAGTAGCATTCGCACTGGTCTCGCAAAGCCAGAAAGTGCAGTCTTTCGTTTTTTCAACGGTTACAAACAACTTTTCAAAGCAGGTTTATATTTGTCGTATTTTCATAACAGATCGTATGTACCCTTATCTACACCCGCCAACGCCAAACGCCAACCCGAGCAATTGATCTTCCCAAATGCATTCGATGCTACCTTTCCGCGACCCAGAATGACTTCATTAAATTCGTATACCTACCAAATCTATGGTGAGATAGGAGTTGCTGTTGCATTTTCAATTGCTTCTGCTACAGCGCTGTTTCTCTCAGATGCATTCATTTTCGTTGGCAGTTCCTCTCCCCATGCTTTTGATTCTTCAGATTCAATCGGTAGTGGGACCATCTTCCGCGCGATTTTTGGCGCTTGCTCCTTCGGCGATGGTTCTGGGCTGGACCCAATAGCGGAATTCGCTTCCGCTGATACTTTCTCAGGAACTGGCATTGCAAAGCCATCCATTTCCTCATGAAACTTGGAGTTTCTGTGGGGTGACTTTACCGATGGTTTGGCTTCATGGACATTGTCGATGGATTCTTCTGCATCGAATATGCTTTCATGGTAACTCTCTGAGGTCTTCGGTCTGTCGTCTGATTTTGCTATTGGCGTCGAAAATTCGGTAGATTTCTCATTTCGTGGCGGAGATGGAAAGTTTTCTTTGGAGTTGTTTGGTGGGGTTGGAGCGGCTTTCGCACCCCAGCCGCTTTTCCTCTTCTCGCCCATCCATGTTCCCCAGCTACCGATGTACGCGCCGGCCTTGCTTCCAACGCTCTGTACAGTCTGTTTGGCGCCATTTAGATCTGGTGCTGGACTTGGCACAGAAGCACCATTTTTCTCTGCTTGAAGTCTTGCTTCTTCTTGCTTTCTTCGCTGACTCTCTTTTAATGCCTCCATGTCCGCATAAAGCTTGTTGAATACTGTGCTGGCCTTTTCCTTTCCTGCAGCTAAATTCTTCCCGAGAAGCTCCTTACCAACAGCAAATCTTTCGTCGAGGTGGAATTCTTTGACCTGTTCGGCAATTCGGCGCTGAACATCATCAATTGTAAGACCACCTGCACAAGGATGTTTGGGTTCCACAATATCGAAGAGGTGCGAGTCGGTGTTCCTCTCCCATATCCTATAATTCTCACTTCTTGACCACGCTTCTATCCAATCGGAACCGAAGTCAAGAGCGGGATCGCCCTCGACATGAGGAAGCATCGCCCTTGGATTATGAGCATGGTGTTTGAGATAATTGTGGCATTTAACGGACGATATGAGAGAGAGAAGATATTCTTCAAACTGCAATCGTATGAATTCTTCGGATCCAACGTATCCCATAGTCTTGGGTCGACCAGGATTATTTTCATCCCAAGTTTCGTTCACAGACTGTGTAAGAAAGTCCATCCATCGACGATCGGCAGCAGATAAAGTGAGAGCCGCTCGAAGAGAGCTAGAAGTGACGTTTATCGTCATTTCGTCCAGGTTGATAAGAATATCGCTATAACGATCTTTTTGTTGTAAAAGGAGGGAATTGGTGGATCCAACAATATAAGATTTGGTACCATAATCCGCCAGTATATCCAGTTGTTGCAAGGGGGTATAGGGACCATAGAGACTTCCCTAAGAAACTGATTAGTGCGGAACTCGTAGGCGTGTGGAGGTATTTTTCTTACTTTCCCAAAAATCTGAAGCGGCAATCCCATATAAGATAACAATGAACTTCGGTCGCTCGTCTTCAAACTTGCTGGCTTAACCAACTGCTTCTCATAGTTTTCTAGTTCTGGATCCGCACAATCCTGAAGATTTCGAATGAGACCTGGTATCAATGATATTAGGGAGAATTGCATCATGCATAATTTCTCACATCTGGATCCAAAGAAGAGCATCTATCAAGTTAGCGCCAATTCACACTGCATCATCAATTCCAAAAGATACCTTTGGTTGCAACAAACAGCACTTGAAGAGCACTAAAGTCTGCCATTTGAACTCCTTTACTAACACTCTCAGACTCATTCCCAGATATTCTTCACGATCTTCCTCAGCTAAGCCCACACCTCTCTCTTTCTCCTCCTGCAGACTTTCTTGGAATCGCTTCAAGATCTCCGTATCCGTGAATTCTCTCTGTGCAAACCAGGCGGTGGTTACTACCGACATTCTTTCTCGCAGCATACCGAAAAATTGAGGCGAGTCAGCTATTACCACGACTGCTTTCTGGACCGTGGATCTCGTCACATCTGCTGGGCGATTTATGAGCATAGAAGCGTCCAATTGCCTTGTACATGATATGCCGAAAAGGGAAGTTGCTGGGGCATTATCTTTAGCCGGTTTGAGGAGGGTGAAGTAGGAGAAATCTTCGGAGGAGCTGCATCATTGACCAGATATTAGATATCTTCTTGAAGTGCAGAGCCAGAGGCAGGGAAGAGGGGCTCACGCATGCGCTCCATCACTCAATGCCATAAAGGGTAATAGAGACCAGTCATTGTCGAGTGCGGGATCAACACCCTCGTCTACGCCAAACCAAGTTTCTACCTCTGGACCTCTACATTGTGCTTCTAGTCAGCTCCCTTGTCTCGTTGTGTCTGCCAACGCAGCAGCCGGATTGGCCTACCTCGCATGGTGAAATCCAACCACGGTGACCAGCGGGATGAAGCCTGGGTTCACCACCTTCGCTGGTGCTAGTGCTGGTACTGTTGTTGACACCGAAAAGAATGGCTCATCGACGGTTGGCTGGTGGTTCTCCATGCTGCCTAGGGTTTGGTTTCCAAAATCGGGGCGTTCGCGATCCAACTCCCTCTGCCTTTCTGTGCCCGATTCTTCCCTAAACTTGTGCCTCGAACGTATGCCTTCGGTCGTACTTGTTATTGTTCAACGCATCTTGCCTTTTTTGTATGACCGGAATTTCTACGGAAAGTGTCGTCGGTTTCGCAACGTTTGGCCTGCCTTGTCTTCTTGTCTGGGAGGGCTTGGAAGGAGTTCGCCCGAGCACGTTGGTTCTGACGTTGTTTTATGTGCGCTGATATAGGAGTTTGGCATTCATGATACATATGCAGTCTGTATCTGTATGTGTATTTGTGTATGTGTATGTGTATGAGCAGACGAGCGGCTGAATCCTGACCGCTGAGCGCTTCTTGGTGGTGGTGGTTTTGCTGCGTTGCCAGCAATCATGCAGGGTTGTGCCAACACGTGATCTTTTCCTCCCCAAAAGCTCCTGGCAACCCTTGGCAAGGGTCATGATTATTGCTGCAGGTCATCTGGGTAACGTGGTTGATAGGGTGGTGTGACGCCGTGGAGATCGAGTTCCCACATCCCACCAGTACGGATACGGTGCTATCGAATTCGGGGAGCCAGGCGGTGTCGAGGGTCGAGGTCGACGATACCAAGAATACGATGCCCATTGCAACGTCAAGAAGCACCTTTCGGCAACGCGGGTGTGGCCAGGGAGGAGGGGGGTTTCGATTCCTGCAGTGGGGATGGACTGATGGGGCCCGACTGGTACTCGAGAAGAGCAGAAAGCACCGTATTCCTGTGAGAACCCTCATTGAGCTTATCTTATGCAGAGAGTGAGAACAATGATAGCTCTGGGCCATGCAACCAGCTACAAAGCGACCGATGATTGCATATTGTACTGTACAATTCCCGAGTCGTCATCAATACTGCACTAATCCGCAGGCTCAGTTGCAGTCGTTCCCGCCTCGTTCTCTGCGCTAAGTAAATTAGGCAGGCCTCTTTTCAGCTGAATTTCTCGTCTGAACTTCATCTGAACAATTTCGAGAAACGACACTACTCGAGGACCCTGCATTAGATATGGGAATCAGATCATCCGAAGGAGGTTCGAAGAATCATGAGATGGAATTCTCGTGTGCTATTTGCTAGCAGTGTCAGGGATATAAACTCTTCCTCCTCTTGATTCTAGAATATCTTTTCCTCCGATCACATTACTACTACTCTCTGACAGCACTTTCTTCTTCCTAGTATGCAGTCCATCCGATTCTGGGGCCAAGAATCTACGCCAGGTATATGAGAAAGCCCTTTTGGTGGCTCTTTAGCCCTCTTTTACATAACCTTCCGTCCTTGTGGGAAGTTGTAGCACATTGAACCTCAGGTGTCACATATCGTCGATTGGTTCCCAGTATTGAGTTCATCATTCATCGATTTTCTACCAGAAGTTAGCGTGTATCAACAAATAAAGTTTGTGAAAATCTGACACTTTTGGGGGCGGTTTTGTATGCAAGGCAATTTGATAGATGTCGTGTAAATGCATTCAAAATAACCAGGCGAACATAGACTTGGATGGCACGGAAAACTGTCTGCATCTGTTCCTTTGCAAACTTGGAAAATAAAACACAACACACCAGTCAGGCTCAGTAAATTCTTTGCCTACCAATAGGTAGCTATCAAAGTAGTTTCCTGCTTATTTTCATGAGCTGTTTTGGACATACTTTCCACGATCTGGTAATTGTGGAACAGAAAGCGGTTTTTGCGGCCCTGTAGAGACTAGACCCAAAGAATACCTAGTTTCTGGGAGCAAGAATAAGTGAAAAACAATACACGCTTCGTAGTCATCTCATATACGTCAAAACCCGGATCTTCAATGCCCTAATTATATCTCATTTACTGTTGACGTAGAGCGTTTCATGATCCTAAGAGTTGGCTTGAATTTCTCCGTGAAGTATTTACACTTGAGGTTACAAACACTGATTAGAAACTCCAACATGTCTGTTTCCTGTAAGTTTAGATAGCCTGCCTCACAACTCCACAAGGACAGAAACCACGCTCGTCATCTTTTGAGATCTACTGATCTTGTTGCACATCGCATCTTGAACCAAGAATTCTCTAAATATCTTGGCATCCACGTCCATGGCCTTTGTCTGCCCCCAAAGGCTGTGCCAAGGTTCACAATGCCCTTCAAGGCCACCAGTTCGACATCATATCAACCATATGCAGCCTTATTCTCAGCTTTTGTTGCAATTCGCAGCATCTGCCAATGGCGCCAAGATGCTTGGCTTCTAAAGGTTTTTATGTCAAATAGTATTTCTAAATGTGTTCCAACTTACAAGACAAGGATACTCGTACATGTTGGTCTTGGGTTTCATGTGGCGACACAGACGGAAGAATGCTTCCCCAACACCAAAGAATGAACCAACGCCAAGAGCCAAGCTCATCCCCTTTTCCTCTGAACGACGATAAAATCTTCTGTTTCCAGGTAAAATGTGTGGCACAGATTGCTTTTAACGCCCACTTTGGAGCTTTGAGGGCACTTGCACCTGGCATTACTGAAATTCGTTGCACTTCGACAATTTTGCCAATTGTATCTTTCTTTCTTGGCGCCTGTCTTAAGCTATTTAGTGTCACTATTCAGCAATTCGCCAAGAGTTCAACTATTGATCCAGGTTTTTTGATCCTATCAAGTTCATTACCAACTTTTCCTTACCCACCCAGTGATTGAAGAAATTTACTTGTTGCATTTCGAACATTCTTGGTGATATTTGGACCAAGATAAAAATGGTTCTTCTTTGCTAATATCATCAGATCATGACGTAACACATATTCAGCTGCAAGAAGCACTACCGTAGGCACTTATCCAGCCTCTTTATCTGCACATAGTTTCTTCCTCAACTTGTTTGCTATGATTCTCCCTCTATCTCCGCTTCGCTGTCTTCAGATTCCACACTCTGCAATCATTTTGTCATGTCTCGCGCCTTGTTTTCTTTCCTTCTCACCCTTTTTGTGTATTCTCGTGATACTTTGAAAAGTCATCACAATTTCGAAGTTCCTTGACTGTAACTCTTGGTGTTTGATGCTGGCAATTCTGTCATATTTGCCAAAGATTTTCTACTTAGATGGGGCGATGGGAGCAGTTGAGGAATTTGGGCAAAAGATCGGCAAGGGTCCTCAGCCTGAGTGGGGATATTTCTGCACATCTTTCTGGATCAGGTCTTGGCCCTCTGTTTACATCTCCAAGAATATCAAAGCTCTCGCTTAACTCCGCAACCCCCCCTAAGACTAAAGACGCAGAAAGAACTTTACCAAGTCCAAGCATGTTTTCTTAATACAATCCTTGTTTAATGCTCATGGCCTGACTTTTAACTTGGCGTGGTTCTGGCCAGGCTCCAAGCAACTTTGATAAAACTTAAAACAGAGCGGTGGGGGATTTTGACGGGAAATATTCTAGATGCCAATGGGCTTCTCTGAGGGCTTCGCTTGCATCGTACTTTTGGAAGAATTGAGCAGCACCTACGAATTGATTTGAAAGGATGGATAGGTCTCACCAGATTCAAACCTATGTCAATAAGAGAAATTAGTCTTAAACTTATGTACAAGTTCCATTTTTGCACGCTATTTGGCCTCTAGCCGACTGACTTCACTTCGATTTTACCTTACTTCATGGAGTCTAGCTTGCCGTCAATCAAAGGGCAAAAAGATTCTCAGTACGGCATAAGGATTCCTGACTGACTGCCGTGAGGTTCAAAGATGTCCACCAAGTCTGCAGTGATTGGATTCTTCTTACTATTGTGACGCTAATGAATAAGGGAAAAGCTCAAAAGATGCGGCATTCGATCTTTCTCATAAGCTTCTTTTTTCTCGAACCTTCAAGTTGCTTTCTCATAATCGATACATGATCTGGTTTACCAAAAGACTAAAAGGTTTCCTTCGTCGCGCCATAACAAAATAGCGGTTGTTGTCATAATATTTCCTTAGACCAGAAAAGCCACCACTCACAAAGGGAGAGGGCCTTCTGGTCTCGTCAATTTTTGGAGTTTAGCATCCTTTCGGGAAATTGTCTTAAACCTTTCTGAAGTGGAAAAGGTGAGAACCGTTTGTGAGCCTCTTTAAGGCCCCCTTACAATTTGGACATGCTCGCGAACGTCATCCCTCTACTGCGTGCCCTAACCCTCAAAATATATTCTCCTGATGAAGCACTATAGCTGCATTTTTAAACTCCACTTCGGAGAAAACATGAAAAGCAACAGAAAGTAGATTCTTCTTTCTGTAGAGAAAACATGCAGAAATCTTGATGTTCCTAGAGCTGTACCGGAAATACTTCCTCTTTCGGTTAAAACGAGTCAAAACCGCAGGGGCCTGTAGAATAGCCCAAACGAGCATATTTATTCCGACCACTCAGAGGCAAGGACTCGGTGTTATTCCTCATTTGCGGGGGAAATAATGGTGCACATACGCTGAACCCCCTAAATGGCACACGCTTAATTTTGGCGGTAAAATATTTCTCCCATTTCTCTCTCACTTTGACACTTTTTTGACTCCGTCGCTTTCCACAAATTTGAAGTCATGGGACTGGTGCACAGTGATTTCGCTCTGTGGTTGTTCCCCAGTTCCATAATAGTGTGTGGATGGCGCACTATAGGGGGCGGCACTTTATGTTCCTCGAAGGAGATTTCTTCAAATTTCCAGAACACTTAGCTCCTAGATTTGAGCACAGGCTTCGAATGTGGACTCTTTTCTTGCCTTCATATGTTGGAGGCTTTTCCCTTTGAAGAATCCCAAGCTTAATTTCTCTCGTGAAGCCAGCCGTCGTTTTGAATTCAACCACCATGAGGTTCTCGTTTTCATTCTCCCTTGCAGCCGCAAGCCTCCCTCTCTCACTTTGCGCTACTATCTACGTCTCTCCCACTGGATCAGATAGTGGTACCGGTACTATCACTGCTCCTCTGAAGTCCATCCAGTCAGCGATCAATCTCGCTACTGCTGGATCAACAATTTATCTTCGAGCGGGAACATATGGTTTGACAACAAATATCCAGTTCACCAAAAGTGGAACTGCATCAGCCCCCTACACCATTTCTGCGTACGAATCCGAGAAAGTCATAATCGATGGAGAGGCTCTACCTTCGTAGGTATTCCAATAGAAATCCAATAGTCCGAAACATAGTACTGAGCAATGCAAAGAACCCCTGGTGAACTTGACTCTTCGATCCCAAGCAAGAACCGAGGGATTTTCCATATCGAAAAGGCACATTACTGGAATTTCATCGGTCTCGAATTGATCAATGGCCCTTATGGTATTTATCATGCCGATTCTTCCAACAACTATTATGAGCGGGTCGTCACTCGGGATAATTACGAGACCGGTTTCCAAATGCAAGGGGCTTCCGCTCAAAATACGATTCTCTATCTCGACTCTTATGGCAACCGAGATCCACGAAAAAATGGGGAGTCCGCTGATGGGTTTGCATGTAAAGAAGGAAGTGGTGAAGGCAATATTCTTCGTGGAGCAAGACTTTGGAACAATGTGGATGACGGGTTGGATCTTTGGGAGTTTAAGTCCGGCGTTACGATTGAGGATACACTCTCTTGGGGAAATGGGGTCAATCGGTATGTCCATAAATAATCTTCTGGGATTTTCGAATCTAACAAAATGCCTTTAGTTGGGGATTCAGCGAGTTTGAAGGAGACGGAAATGGCTTCAAACTCGGAGGTGGTAATAAAGGTGACATAGGCCCAGCAAACCATATCATCACCAACTGTGTCGCATTTGAGAACGCAGCTGGCGGATTCGTTGACAACTCTCAAACCGGAGCTTTCACACTCACAGGCAACACTGCATACAACAACACCAAAACCGGGTTTTCGTTCAAGACTGCAACTGCAACTCTCAAGCAAAACATTGCGGTTGCAAATGCCCAGGCAGACGAGTCCCTGAGTTCAGCTCAAAAAGACAGCAGAAATTCGTGGAACTCGGGTACTTGGTCGGCAAGTAGTTTCAAGAGTCTGGATAAGACAACAGCTATCGGTGCTCGAGATCCATCCGGCAAGATTGTGGGGAGTGATTTCTTGGTGCCTGCTTCTGGTGCTGATATGGGAGCTTCTACATACTGGTGATTTTAAGGAGATATTATAGAAGCAAATGTGCCATGATTGACTTGTATATATTTCTAGGGTGGTTGACTTAAACTCCAGCTAATTAAATGATTTCATCCTGAAAAGCTAATTCTTATGTCATCCATTTAAATTATGAATATAACCTATCGTTAGTATACTACTTTATGAGTAACAGTGACTCTTAGATAGGAGCAAGGCCATCAAATTCTTATAGAGGGACTATATAAAAGACCTACTAATCTCATTAAGATCGCGTTAGACTTGGATTCCAGGGCTACTGGGATATATAGGAGTAGGTAGTCTGAGAGTAGGTGGAAACATTCAATCTTACTACTTGATTATGTCTGACGCGAATACCCCACTGTGCCACCCTTTTCTAACTGGAATGCTACCTCTTCAATGCCTAGCATTTACTGGTAAAACTACTAGTAAATGAATGTGTCATACAAGAAGTGGTATATTAGACAGAAAACAAGTAGGTAGGAGAACTCTCAGTCTTAAGTCACCAATTGGATTTCGTTCCAGTTAGTTGCTGTATAATTTAGTTTGTAGAAGTGTAGATACAACACCACTATGCGAATACATTCCTTATAAGCTAAAGACTTATTTCAAATAACCAAAATATTGACCTAGAACATTCCATTCAGTTTCTCCAAGTTTGATGTTCATGGAAGACAAGTAGTCTATCTTTTCGCAATTCGTAATTTATGCCTCATGACCAATTGGAGTCTATTTTGATCACACAAAGGCACGAGAATTGGTCCGCTGCTCTGTGCCATACACCAGGTTCTCATCAACTGCTCGGTACAAAACCAGTTTATCGTAGATACTTAATTGGTGTTTCGCTCTTTGTGGTAACTGATAATGTTGGGTTGGGTTGGGTCCAGCGGCCAAGTAAGTTCTCGCTTAAAGGAACAAAGAAATATCGTGTTTGTAGAACTCTGAATTTTATGTATAAAATGGGAATATGGGCTTGTGATACCTTCCTAGAAACTCTTGAATGGTTGTTTTACATCTCGAATATTGAGTGTTCTCTTATATCGCCATAATTCACAAAGCCCCCAGCGAGGAGATGTTTGAAGATGACCATTAACACCGACTGTAGTAATCATGAAATTATCCACCATCCCCCAGATAAAACTGGTAACAATGTACCAGCCACTAATTCTTATGGTTCTGAGTCATATATCAAAACAAACCCAGAGTCTTCGGCGAAGAGAAACTTTGCGAGCTCACTAATCAACGGCGGAGCCCAAGGCGGCTTCCATCCACCATCAAGCCTTGTGACCAAAACAGACCACGAGCCAAGAAAGCACTTGTAAGTAGTTCAGAAAGGAATGCAGTAGTCTTGGCTTGTCTAATGTAAAAAGAAAACGATGAATTCCAGAGGTTGTGGTTGCAAGAAGGACATGAATGCTTCAGTTGATAGCACCACCAAAAGAACTAATAATTCGCAAGATGACGACATACCTACGAGTTCTAATGACAAAGGTCTACCAAGAGGTTCTAGGATGGACTACTGCTTTGAAACCCATTTCTCCACCTCCAAACACCATGCAGATTAAACGTGCAACAAAGTGTTGATAGATATAGAAGCGGAATCTTATCATTGGTCTACTTGTGGTATCATATTCGCATACCTAAGGTACCTGTCTATCATTGTCCTAAGTTATATACTGCCTGCTTCTAAGAGAGAAAACAAATTTGGAATCAGTTGTACTGTTGTTGGAAAAGTGAATAAGGCTAACTAACGTAACATTCAAGTGAAAAACACTATCAACTTTAGCTAAATAAAAACGACATGTTAGAACGTGTATTACTCGTACTGAAACATCAGACTCTTACCGTCTAATATTATAACCTTCAAAGAATTGTTTGCTGTGATCGGTGACAGCTATTTCTTTATGAACAGTTCAATCTTTCAGCCAATAACAGAGCCCACTAAATTTGTTTCTTGGTTTGATTATACTAGAATAATATCCTGTACAGCGGCCGAATTCCATGCCTCCCCATCCATAATACCATGTACATAGGCATCTCCGATTATCTCAAAAAGGGTTTCCCCCATCTCATACTTTGGGCGCAGGATATATGGCACTCCTCCTCCTTCTAATAAGGCTATTAAGTCACCAGCCTTCGAATCCATGGGGGCAAGACCCATCCAGGACTCATCATTCAAAATAAACAGACTTCGGGAGCATGTGCTGGCTGCGACATAGAGGTGGAATGCATCAGACTCAGGACGTGGGACTTGTGAATCTTCACCGAGTTTTTGGGCGAGTCTACCATTTTCCAACGTATCCTACCACAGATTATGAATAGAGACAAGTAATGGACTTTGCCAGGGAGTTTGGTGACCACCTACTGGATTCTGAGAAGGGGGTATATGCCAAGGTACAGACCACACACAGTGTGACAGTATGCCTCGTAAAGTGTTGTACCAGTTTTCGAATCATATATTCGATCAGGACAACTCGAAACCCTGGCTATTTCTCGCCATCGATTTAAAACCTCTGGAATTCTGTCTGGGTCCCAAGGAGGACCAAGGACACCCAATTCTCAAAACAAGATCCCTTTCAAATTGAGGACCCCAGGTTCCACACATATAGCACTGGTGGTACTATCACCCAAGGCATTGTACAGGCAGACATCCTCTTGTCGGTACAGCAAAGCTTGCATCGTATGTCTTTCTATTTCCAAACTCCATGCTGGGATCCAAGAGGGTAGACTTTCCGAGGACCTGTCTGACAAACGATTAAAACCGATATGACTGAATATTTCCAATGATTCTTGAAAAGCAATTGTGTTCAATACGACTTGGTGATAGACTGTCGAGGTGTCTATGGAATAGTTTGGTAGAATCGTTCTCCGTTCTGCTCCATTACAAAGTCCCAGTAAGCCATAACTTTTATCGCGAGGATCATAGCATTGGTAGTTTCTGAAACCACTTAGAAGTCGGGAGAGGGATGGTCGGTCGCTTCGGGCTCGCAAGTTCATATTTCGCCAGTACCACAACATAACGGTTTCTGAGGTTGAGTGAGGTCTCCGAGACCACAGGACCTTGCGACAGCAATTGTGGACATGAAACTTGCAGCTTGAATGCATAGCAGAAATCTTGTCCGCTGATATACTTCGGTTTCCACAGGTGAACAATAAATTTGATGCAAGAATACTCTCTTGGATAATCCACACACGCTGCCACCATGGTCGACGCAATACCTTGCGCATCGCAAGGAGATATTTTGAACCTAGATAACACTGATCGAAAGAAGGATTCTTTTCAGAATCCCAGTGTTGGGCTTCCGTTGTAGGCAAAGCTCCGAATGCATCAAAAGCCAGGTTACTATCTTCGTATTCCTCGCCTAGCCAAGCGACAACCCGAGAAGCCATCGAATAAACACTTCCCACATGCATCACCTGCGAACCTCGCTCATCAAGATCCTTCTGGTTAATACAAATTGCATCAATCCACATCACCCTCGGCTCGGGTTTGTATCGTAAATATCGAAGAGCAACTTCAAGATTTATCGTGACCGAACTCAGTACCCCATCGATGAGAACTTCACGCATCAAGTCGGGATTGCCGGTTTCTCCCCACACATACGACAGGGCTTCATAGTCGAGGGTATCATTCAATCAAGCCAAAGAGAGGGTGCAATGAATCTCATCATCAAAGTCACCTGGTTGGATCGTCACGAGGCTGATTTCTCGAGTCTCAGCGTTCAGGGGTTTGTAGTGAAGCAGCGGTGCTTCTCGGTTGCTGATAAGCGATGTATCTGTGTTCATTTTGGTGAATTTTAGAGCGCAGTGATGTTAAGCAGGAAATATGGGATTATGACCGTGTATGAGTGAGACTTTGAAATGATGTGGGTGATGAGCTGATTGTTTTTCACGCAGACGTCCGAAAACTGGGAGAAGTGTTGGAAAAGGGGGGTATGCATATGCATGCTTCGTCACCTTGAAGTGCATAATGTATGGTTGCACCAAGCATGCTGCCTATCTAACAATTCTGGCAAATCATCCTATCATCTGACGATAATCAATGATCTTGTGGGGGATGAAAGTAAGGCTGCATGACACTCCATTCACTGTAACTCTAGGACGTCGTATCGCACTTTAGAGAAGGCAACTAATTGATTGGTGGCATATTATCGGTCATACCAAGTCCTCACAACTATAAGGAAACTTATAACTCAAAGCTAGGCATCCAACAAAAACTGAGGCTCTATGGCTTAGTTGGTTTGTGGATGCAGCGTAATCGGTCTGTCACCCTTTACAAGATTGAGAAATGGTTCTCTTATTGGGTTACGATCGGAAAGGTTTACGTTAAAATTCGGCACAGTTCTTCGAAGCTGCGTCGTCTTTTTGCTCTTTTTATTTCTATTAGCTATTTTATTATTTCTTTTCCTTTTGGGATATGACGGGTGTGCTTACGCGGAAATGTCTATGGCTTCAAATAGAATTCAGAAGACGCTGTGTGAGAAAGTGTTGGCAGTATTAGCCACTGTTCCCTTACGGTTACAGATTTGCTTTCGAAATCTAGCTCAAATGAGTGTATTCGGGTACAACACTCATCCTCTTATGACTTCTCCATTAACATGTTTCTGCTCTTCCAAGAAATACTAGTCCACCAAGCATCCGCCGTCCGGCCGTGTTCGATTCCTGTCAAAGGCAGTATCTACAATCCCAAAGACATTCAAATACACAGAATATGTACTTTGCCATATACAAAAATATTGAAGTTACAAAAATCGTGAGGATTGTGAGTCGAGTAAAGTATGTGCTCGCCAAAGACTCTGAGGAGAGTACTCAGCCACTATCACGTGCAAAGTGAATGCCTGGACAACCTGGAAAGCTCCCCAAGATTACAGGCGTGCGTTGCAGGCTTCAGGATTCCAGATCAAGACCTCAACAACAAAACAAAGACCAAGTGTCCCACTATCATCTACATTTCACCTCACCACCCACCACACTCGTCAATATGGATAAAGTGTCTGCCTTTGGCAAGAACTTCTCGTAAGTCTCCAAACCAACCACCAAGCGTGCTGCGCATCAACGAATATGCCTGCGAGCGCACCTCGAGTTATACAGCAAATGCTAACTGTTATCAAGAGCAACCTTCACCCCCTTCGCCGCCCGCACCCAGCAATATGTAAAGGAACAACTCGGACAGGCTGAGGATAAGGTGCGCAATTTCATGGTTCTTCGAGGTCTCGAAACTGACGGATATTCTTCCTTGATAGACCCAGCTACCTCCAGATTATATTGAGCTCGAGAAGCGGGTGGATGCTCTGAAACAGGTTCACCAAAAGATGCTACAGGTCACGTAAGTCTCCCGGAAGGTTCGGTCTTACGATGAAAATCGGATTATGGATGCAAGGACTGATCGGGTTTGCGTGTCCAGGTCCCAGTACTCCTCCGAAGCCTATGATTATCCCGCAAACTTGAAGGAAAGCTTCAGCGATCTCAGTAGAACCGTCAGCGAAAAGGTTCAGTTGCTTTCTGCTGCTACATCTGCTGCTGACGCACAAGCTGCGCTCACAGCCCCTCCATCCACAAAACCACAGCCCAAGACATTCAACCATGCTATCGCTCGTGCCAGTCTTGCCAGCAGCCAACTTCTTCAACATCAACATGCAGGCGCCGGAGAGGATCCACTGGCGCAAGCTTTAGAGAAGTATGCCCTTGCAAGTGAGCGAGTTGGCGAGGCACGACTTGCACAGGACTCCCAGATCCAGAGCCGTTTTCTCGCAGGCTGGAGTACAACTTTGAACACAAATCTGATGTTCGCGACGCGGGCAAGAAAGAGCGTTGAGAACTCAAGATTGATGCTTGACGCCGCAAAGGCAAAGGCAAAGAACCCCGGATGGAAACTTCCTGGGGCTGCACCGCGCGCCGATGGACAACATGAAGAAGAGACGTCCGAGGAGGCTCGTGTTGAGATCGAGCAGGCTGAGGACGAGTTCGTTGGTCAGACTGAGGAGGCAGTCGGAGTGATGAAGAATGTGTGTATTTCCATTTCAACTCGTCTTATGCAAAACACTGACCCCTTCAGGTTCTTGATACCCCAGAGCCGCTACGAAACCTCGCCGATTTAATTGCTGCCCAACTCGAGTACCACAAGAAAGCATATGAAATCCTTAGCGAGCTTGCGCCGGTCGTCGACAGTCTCCAAGTAGAGCAGGAAGTGAGTCGGTCCAAAGACTTTTCTGCATAATACGGTCGCTGATGAAGCTTTCGCAGGCCAGCTACCGAAAGAGTCGTGATGGAACAGCCTAGAGTACGTTCTGACTGCAATAGGAGAACAAATATTCTTTCTCGTCGACTAGGGCCGGGGCGAATTTGTTTTGATTTTGACGAGCAGTAGCTTGCTGGCCGGTTGGCTTTTCAACTTGTTTTGAGCAACTTTTTCCCAGGGCGTTCGTTGTCTTTAGGTGTATTCAGTCAATGGATGAGATTCCCCCACAGCGCATGATCTGCACCCAAAAGACTCGGGGCGCCTCCGTGATACATTTTCGATGAGCCCTACTGGTTGCTATAACCTAGTCGGTGAATGGCTAAACATGCATGACAGCCAACTATTAGTTTTGTGGTTGGTGATCTCAATCGCCCCAAATCCCACTTCTGAGATACGCCCACTGTCTACCGCTTATCAGACTTCTGCAGCGAACCATTTTTGCTTTTTCGAAATGGTGAGTGCAGATTTATATAAGCATCACAATTCAAGATGCCGGTGAGTTAGGCATTTTAGTGGAACCTCCTTGGCCGCATGGAGGAAAGCTTGTAGCGTTACATTTGCATGCAGCTGATGCCATCCCGAACCCGCAAATCAGACAACTTGAAAGCCATACTAGATAGTACAAATCCACTCCGTCGTCCCTCTGCCTTTTCTCCTTCCTCACTTTCCTCCCACCCTCCACAGATGTTTCCAGTGCCGCCATCATGGCCTCCTCAAACCCTACAGCGGTACCTGCTGAAAACCATCTAATATTTTCAAATTCTAGCGCAGCCTATGGTGACGCAACGGATCGACCCGTCGCGCCAGACCAATTTGAGCCGAAATGGGAAACTGATAAATGGGAAATGTGGAGTTATTACCTCTACTATGTTGGGAATAATGGATTGACTTTGTTTAACTTTGCGCCGACCGCTTTCCAAAACTTGCTTTATGAGGCTGCTGGCGATTCTACAAGTCTGAGATTTGCGGGCAGGTATGCGTCACTTGATAAGATGATTATGAGCTGAAAAAAGTCAATTTGCTGACTTGGACTGTGACAGAGATCGAACAATCAACAGTATTGTCCTACTGAGTAATGGCATTAGTTTTGCTATTCAAATTGTTATCTTCTTGCTGCTGGGCAGTTTTGCTGGTATTTATCCGTCAATATTTTTGGGAGTAAGATTCATCTGACAATTCCAGATTTTGGAACATGGCGACCAAACATTTTAATTGTGTTGTCGCTGTTCGCTTGGGGAATTGGTTTCGGATGGTTGGGCGTTCACGATTCTTTCAAGTGGAAGGTTGCCGCGGGAATGTATATTGTTGGACGTACGAGTAGAAGAATATCCATCCCCCGATGCGCAACTAACCTGGAATAGTCATTGCGTATCAAACAACACTTACTTTTTGGACTGCAGCGTAAGTGCCTGCTTCCGCGCTTTGAAATGGGCTTCTAACAATTCAAAGATTTCCAGGACTTGCACGAAATACTCCTCACATGCGTGAGAAGGCGAAGGAGTTCGAAGCAGGAGAAATAAGTCGTGAGGAATATGACCGAATTGATACTCTCAAGCGCTCTGAGCTTTCGAATATGGCCTTTTATGTCCAATCGATTGGAGAAGTCTTCATTCTCGTTATCATAGTCGGAATCATGTTCGCAATTGATGTAGACTCCTCAGCTGCGGCGAACAACTGGGGACTCTCTGTTCTCATTGCTTTTGCGACAGGAGTTTGGGTTCTTCTTGCTATGCCGTGGTTCTTCAAGGAGAAGAGACGGGCAGGGCAAACGGTAAATATGCTCCCATATTCTATTATTTCTGGATGGTTGCTGATCTCGATCATTAGATTCCAACTGGGATGAATATTTTTTCTGCAGGCATTTGGCAGCTTTATCGAGCTATGCGACAAATCTGGAAACTCAAACAATCACTGATATATCTCATTGGATACTTCCTTCTCGGCGATGTAAGTGCACGCTCAGCTCCAAAACAGAAACACAATAACTAACATTCCAACCAGTCCCTCAACACCACCGTCACCGTCATCGCTATCCTTCAGAGTACCATCATAGCCTACAACACCCTCCAACTAACCTATCTCCTCATAGTCGGTATAGCAGCCCAAGCCCTAGGAATCTGGGTCTTCTGGTGGGCCCAACAACGCTTCAATCTCTCCGCGAAATTCATGTTCAACATAGTAGCTATAAACATAGTCCTCCTCGACCTCTGGGGCATGATCGGCATCTTCACGCAACGCTTCGGCTTCCACAACGTCTGGGAAATCTGGCTATACCAAGCATTCTACGGTCTCCTCGTTTGTCCTTGGTACTCGTACTCCCAAATCATGATTTCCGAAGTTACACCCCGAGGGAGGGAATTTCTGTTCTTCAGTCTGTTTAGTATTATTGGGAAGACGAGTAGTTTTATTGGACCGCTTGTGAGCTCGGCAATTATTGATCGGAGTGGTGGGAATAACAGCACGCCGTTTTATTTCTTGGCGGGGTTGAGTGTGGTTAGTTGTGCGGTTTTGGTGTTTGGCGTGGATCTTGGGGAGAGTAGGAGGGAGCAGGAGGCGTTTTTGGCGGAGGAGGAGAGGGTTAGGAGGGAGAAGGAGGAGGCGTTTATGGGAGATCTTTCGGGCGAGGAGATTGAGGGTGGTGCGGTGGAAGTTGATGGACTTTCCAAATTGTGAGACACAGTTATACGAAGATTTACACCCGAGGTTCTAGAATGATCATCTTATTTCTTTCGTTCGTATCGATGGAAGGATTGAAATTGAAATTATGTCGAGAATTGAGTTGATCTAAACAGCTCGGGTAATCGAATTGGTTGTCTGAAGCTAATCAGTAAATAAGTTCGACTTCTTGCAGTAAGTGCAGAGTACTTTCCCTTTACTATCTTCCCCCGAAAGTCTTGCTCGCATGTTGCGCCCTTGCGCCAAACAAGAAGGGGTATGAAGAGCTCTCTTTGACGAGCTCTTTGAGGAGAATGTGTGACTTTCACAATGGAGCAACGCGAGTCTCATCTAAAAGCAAGGATCGAGAAGCTTGGGTCTGAATATCTGATTCTCTTAGATAGTATTAGACTTTTGTCGTCCAACATTTATCAAATGAACGGTTTTACTTGGCACCCCGTTGACGATATTGTCTGAAACCATCAAATTAATTTGTGTACCAGTAGGACTTTATTGTCTGAAATAACACCTTGGCACTTCTCAATACGTAAGCGATATGAGCCATTACGTATTGGTGGGATCAGCAACATCACATCAAATCATTACGAAAGATGGAGAGTTACCGAAACGTTTTGAATTTCTCGCTTAATACGAGTAGTAAGATCTCCTGCCTTCCTAACGAAAGGCCGTGGAGGAACGACGGTGCTAATAGAGAACTAAGCAATACTCGGACTCTCAAAGCCGACATCGATAACCTATCATAAAAACACCTCACTTCCCAGACTTCCCCACTTGTTCAAAAACGCACCCAAGCACCCAAGCCCCCCATTTTGTTCCTCACCATCTTCTGACTACTAATGCCCATCTGGGCAATACCACTCACCGCAAACGCCGCCGCCGCCTCCGCATTCTCCCCATAACTAAGATGATCCCGCGTGATCTTCGATCCGCCCGCACAGATATTGTCACCGGGATGACAGATCGTAAGAACTTTCCCCTTGTCAATTCCCTGGATGGCAGTTCCATTCTTCGGGTCTCCGAAAAGGACGATGGAGGAGATCTTGGACATGGTGGAGCTTGGCAGAGAGGTAGTTGCGAGGTGGACTACTTGGGCGCCTGGGAAAGGGTTAGTGTGAGGGAATAGGTGAGGGAGGAGGGAAGGGACAGACAGACCTTGTGAGTAGCCCGAGAGACAGATTTGGGTATTGGGACATTTGGAAGTGGTGTCGTTGACTAGTGATGCCATTCTATTCGCTCCATCTACTGAGCCCCCGGCCTTGAATCCGGCGACATCGGCGGGGTAATCGACGCCTTGAATGGCAATATGGTTCGTGTCATTCTTGTACGCTGCCAGAGCCTGGAAGAAAGGGGGACCTGTGATAATTCCGACATTTCCTATTTCCGTTAGCAGACTAGAGGTTTGGTACAATGCCCACGAATAGCAGACGAACGATCCTAATATATGACAAGAAATTGGAGAGAACGCAAAGGACTAACCAATTTCAAAAGTTCCCCTCGCATAAAAAACAGCCATAGACGGACAAGCACCCGTCTGCCCAGTCGCAAGAGCCCCAACAACCATATTCTGCGTATCGCCCAGTATTATCGACCCAAGCGCCAAAATAGCATCCAGCGCTGCTCCTCGCTTCCTCATACTAGTTCCGTCACCAGGCATAACACCCATAGGTCCCTTCGAATAATCTCCTATGCTCCTCTTGCTCACGTCGCTTCTACCTTCAATCCCCGGGACAATGGATTCGAAATCCGCGATGTTCCCATCGTAGAATGGTGTCCCTCCATTCGGCGAAGGCACAGAAAACACTATCTGTGAAAAAAAAAAGACTCCGAGCAAGATGGAGAGGTAGCGATGCATGGCCGCCGGAAAATACTTAGTGTAGATGAAAGAGGCAGTCTATGAATACACGAAAGGTCCTGCCAAGTCGCAGAAAAGGACAGGTTAAGAGAAGTATATCAATGGTACGAAAAGCTATTCCTGTCTAATCGTCATCTCTGGAAGTGATATACGGGAAAATGGGCGATGGTGGCATGGAAGTATGCGACAACAAGCTACTGTGTAGAGACGAGGGCATGGAAAGTTATGCCTGAGCGAATCGGCAGCTCATAATCCTCCGTCCCATATCTTAAGAGACCAATCAGGAAGCGCCTCGTTGTTTCAAGATCGCGATGAGAAGATCATGCCACAGGTGTTGTTTCGAAAATAGCCTGAGCAATGAAGCTTGTCGTAAAACACAGATCATGAGATCATGAGAAAAAGGAAATTTCCAATGGCTTAAATTATATTCAATTCTATGTGACAATCAACAAGATAACATATATGAGGAGCTAGACACCAAAGGGATTATCACCCTACAGAAATCCTATACGAAGTCCGAAGTCAAACACACTGGAAGATTTCAAAGGCCCCACAAATTCCTGGTATTCCTGTATCCAATAACTCCGAGTAAAAAATTAAATATTATCCTGATCTTCATGCAGATTCTTTCCATCGACTTCAAGGTGACGTAGTCTTTTTGCCAGTAAGCCTTCAGCGACAGCCTTGCCGCCATCGGGTGATCCTGAAAAAAGGTTCCCGGCATATCCAGCGTCACCTTTATTCAGCTTTCCATAGCCACCAATGCTTGTAGAGTCACTATTCCAAGACATTGAGAGATCAGGACCCTGTGATGTTGTAGGCCGACTATTTTTGCTAGATGTCAAAGACTGGATATTGGAAGGGTACTGCTGCCCACATTCATCCTCGGCTTGGCTTTGCTTTCGGAAACTATTGAATGGAATTGGCTGTATCGGAATGGCATTGCTGGTTCCCTGGCCATGAGGAAATATTGAACCACTACTGAAGTCTTTCTCCAGAGTTTGTGTGATGCCTTCCATAGCATGATATGTACGATGCGATGAGCCCAAGGCGAACCCCGAGCTACGTCGTCTATATGCTTTTTCGGCTGCTAAGCTTGCACCTGCAGCGCCTGTGAAACCAGTCCCAAACCCCGAATCACGGCTAGGTTTGTACACACTGAATCGTGGGTCCGGAATTGATATCTCATTTCGGAGCTTTTCTTTGCTATCCGGAACGCGGTCTGCGAAAACAACTCTAATGCTTTTGTATAAATAAAATCGCCCTCGTGATGGCGAACATATGTGCAGATGTACAAGGTAACGGAGGGTAGGTCGCTCCTCCCTGGGAGATGGAACTGGATTCTGCGATGTAGATGAAGACGCAGAATCAACAGCTGGGCCTGTTGTATAGCTTCGTTGACGAATGAAAGTTTTGGTGCCGGGCTCCATTCCATTGAGATCGTAAGGCACTAGAAACAACTTCACTGCTGTTTTATTTGGGTTTTTGATAATGATCTGTAGTTGCCCCTTTTCCGGAATTCGGTAACATCCTCCAAGGGGTGCTTTTGGGGAGGAAGACCTTCTCTTTTGTTTCTCAGCCCGTCGAATTTCTTGCCCCGTGAGATGGTTTGTGTTTGGTCCATCAGTCATATCCAAGTCATCCGACCGGCCACGGTCTTTGTTGACATTGGTTCGCTTTCGCTTATTGCCTCTTGCTTCATCTGGACATGGAAGGCCATTTTCGAGATCTATTTGGCCCACATAAGGACTTGGCCCATCTTCAGATCTTCTAGCCCGACCGTGGCTTGTCGTTTCGTAGCTGTAAAATACCGCCGGAAATGGTAGGGTCACGTGAGCTGGACAACGAAGACTTGATCTGCACTTACCAAGACCCAACACACCAATCTGAGCAACGAATTCGAGAGGCTTTGATGGCGTGGTTGACATTCGTCCACGGAGAATACTTTCTTCATATGAGCCTACCATAGAAGCGTGGAGCAGTGAGCTATCCAGAGTATAGGATGGCCGTCTGGAACGCGAGAAGTCCGGAGTTTGAGGAGAAGATGCAGGATATGGAGTTGTGTTGGATGTTAAAGATCTTCTAGGTTGGTGGGCTTGATAAGGAAATGCATTGTCTCGTCTCAGATGTGGTAGAGGCTTATTGAAACTTGAAGAAGTCGGAATCGATGAGGTGGAATGCATAGAATGTGAAGCTTGGAGCATGTGAATGCGCGAGGATCGTTGTGAATCATGCGTGATATCTATTGGATTCATAAATGAAGCAAGTTCCATATCATCGTTGCTTTCCGATTGAACCAACGGGCTGGTTGGGGGTTTGAGAACGAAGCTCGAGGAATACGAGGAAGACAAAGATGGAGCCCTTGAACGCCATCCAACTTCGGTATAAAGTTGCTCTATAGGTGGGAACGTAGTGTCGAGCTGAAAAGGAGAAAAGTTGCGTGGAGGCGTGGTGGCAAGCCACGGCTGTCTTTCGGAACCGAATAATCCAGAATTTGCCTGCTTACTCCCGACTTCTTTCGTTCCTTCAGTAAAATCACCACTATGTAATGCGGATCTTGGTCTCTCAATCTGCAAGCCTGCTTGCACTCTCTCAACATCGGTTTCCACATTTGATTTTGACTCAGATAACTTGGGGGAAGGCTGCAAAGGGCATGGATTCACATTCGAGACATTCGAAACCGTCTTGGTTGGGGTTGACGGGGAATCGTGAATGACGGAATCGAGCTTGAAAGAGGTCAGTGAAAGGTGGAAGGGCCAAAGGTCCCAGTAGTCAGCGTACATTATGATTCGACAGCCAATTAGTACTCTCTCCCCTTTTCAGTCTCTCAATGAGCTCCTTTCGATCCGACGTTGCATGGAAAGCGAAGGTATGTACCGTATCTGAAGTACGAGTATTGCTTGATTCAGAATCTTTGATTTGCTCTTCGGGCATGTCGAATACAGGTCCTTCACACAACTCTGTTCGGATACTTTCTTCGGAGAGTTTCCTCCCCATGGGAATGCTCTCAATTGGTGTTGTTGAACGTGTATGCTTGGTTGGTTGGGTTGGAGGCAGGCTTGGGTCGGCCCCCAGATCCTCGTCTTGGAAAATGGGCATGATGACTTCTTTCCCAGACGCAAGGTCTCAATCATGTAGACATGGCGAGGTAGTTGGGGAAGTTAAGCTGGTAGAGAGAGACGAGGGAGTTGGTTGAAGGAGGACGAGAGAGATGTCGTCTCAAAGCGGGGAGAAGGCCTGGCGCTGGCTTTGTGGTGCTTGGTGGCTGGTGCTGTATGCAAGATTTCATAAAAAGATATGTTCACGACCTTAAAGTAGAAATAGTCGGGGCCCTCAAGGTTCATGCAGCGCAGAGAGCGGTTCTACCCCCGACGACTACCTACTCGGTACTACTGCAAGTACCTAGATCATCAGAGACAGGAACGGGTCTTGAGTAAAGTCGGTGAGGGTTCCAAATTAGAAGAAAGTCAAAGAAAATGGGTCGCTGGGTACTGGAACTGGAACTGGTAGGCTACGCGGCGAGTACATCAGTCAAGATGTGCTGGTCACAGGTCACGGTGGACGAGTTGCTCGTCATCCGACGTTTCTAATCTAAAGTAGCCGTACTGTACTTTACCCCCGGCTGCTACCCATGGCCCCCCATGCTGCACCTCCAGCTGCACCTGTACGAGTACCTGCCACAATCGCTATCGCCAATCCTCGGACATTTTTGGCGTCTTATCGGGGCGCTAAAGACTCTGACGATCCACTAAAATATCCAACCCCAGTCATCTGGTATTTTTCGCGCATCTCAGCGTACCTAGTAGCTACCTACAGTACCATCACCACCTTTCGATAAACAACCACAGTACTGGTAATCATGGCACCCAAAAGACCTCTCGAAGACGACAATGCCGTTTCGGCGTCTAAGAAGCCCCGATCAGGCTTCAAAGTAGGTCCTGACAATCTTCCCGATGGAACCTACAGAAGAAAAGGTATTGAGACACCCCTCCTTCCCTTCAGCTACAGTACCATAAGCTCATACGTTACTACAGTAATCAAGATCAAAAAAGATCTGATCCACAAAGCCAAAGTCAAGAAGTCCTACGCCAAAATCAAGGCTCAAGAACCCATAGTCGAGGCCCCCGTCATCAGCGAACCACTACCAGAACCTGTTTCGCAAGAACTCCACCCAGAGCGACAAGCAATGCTTGATGCGCCCAAAGAATCCACCCCACCCCCTCATCAACAATCCGAAAGACCTCAGAAGCGCAGACAACAGAAGCCGAAATACTTCGAGAAGGAGGAAGCTTATGCTGCGCAGAAGAAGGCTGAGGCCGAGGCTAGGAGGGCAGAGTTTGAAAGGAGACAGAAGGAGAAATCTCAGAAGATTGAGGAAAGAGAGACTTTCCGCAAGGCCATGGCGAAGGCTAGAACTGGTGGAAAGAATGGACAGCGGAAGTTGGGCCGAGAAAGCAAAGTACTATTGGAGAGAGTAAAGAAGATTGTGGGAAATTGAAGAAAGAAAGTGAAAAGTTTTGATGCCCATTTGCCGGCGTTGATGTATACAACAGACTTAATAATATGAGAGTTCCTTGTCTTGGAGCAGAGAAAAGAAACACTTCAAGTTCGGGCTTTGATTTAGTCGATTGGGCCATACTCTTCTAGATCGAAAGGCTCTTTTTGGAAGCGGAAGCATAGGAGAGAGAGCCTTTCTTCCTAGCAAGTGAAAAGAAGGGTGAACTTGTATTTTCTACCTATTTCAGCCCAACATCATTCTCCCCTTCTTTAAAGTAAACAAATTTCTGTGACATGCAGAAGTTTTCTGTTAAATTACATTTTCGATGCTTATTTTGAACACTGGGACATGATATATCGACTTTTGCAAAGACTTGACTCTCTTTCCATATTTGTCCTTACATGGACGATTCGCCAAACGTAAGCAATAATCTAAGAGTTTATTTATGTTTGTTTTCTTCTGCCCCTCATAAAAATGCTTTTGCACTTCCAAGTGACATCGACATCCGCTCAGAAACCATACCTCACCAAATACGAAGCAACTCGGCACAACCCCGGCAGGCGCGTCCTTCCCAACGATCCTTGGAAACATCCTCACAATTGCTTCAACACCATGAGATGGTGATGCCCTTACGATAACAGCAATGCCAATCTGCATTGAGTGCCGGTACCCAGTCAAGACTCTCTACACCGAATACTCCGGTGCAGACGACAAAACCACAGGTCATGGCGTCCGTCTAACCGTCTGTAAGAACTGCGGGAGGTTCTGCGATAAATATGTCGAACATGATTATGTGGTTCTATTCATTGATTTGGTTTTGATCAAACCACAGGTATGTCATTTCCAAATTATATATGGTTGCGTAGCTAATTATGGACGAAGGTTTATCGCCATCTTCTACATAATACTATGATGCGAGAACATGACCAATTCGATGTATTACCCTCCGCTCCTCGTCGAAGCCACGATATACTGACAGAATTAGCCTTCTATAATACGCCTTGGAATACTTCTCCTGCTCTTCGATGTCTACCTCACCTGGGCCCGCATTGAGAAACAGACTACATCCCCTTTTGCTAATGAAGCAAGCAATAATAACTTTCTCCGTCTGGCGCAACAACCTATTGTCCTGCAATACGTCTTCTTCCGTATGCCAACTTTCTTTCCCTCGGGTCTCGCTTCGGGACATGTCTAACAGCTTTCAGTAATCCTTTGCGCACTTTCAACCCTAGCTTTCCACGTCTCAATCCGCTTCCTGACTTCCTCGCCAATATCCCCCCTCGTAATGTTCGGCCTCATACCACGTTACTCACGTCCCAACTCCGTCAGCACAGCATTGCTCGTCTCCTCGTCTACGAAGTTATTTCCCATACTGATGGTTATATGGGAATACGATGTCCCGGCAGCAGCCAGGTCGTTGGGGTGGGCAGTGGTTGCAAACAACGTGGAAGCGTTGAAGATTTTATTGGATTGTGGCTATGGGACTGCTGCTATACTGGCTACCGTTGGGGCAATATCTCGATGGCTAGTTGGGAGGGGATGTTTGTGGGCTGTAGGTTTGGATGGGGTTGATGCCGGGGGAGATTCCGGGGTTGCTGCGGATGGAAAGGCATTATGGGCAGTGGTAGAATTAGGGAAAGAATGGGGTGGTAGGTTAGGTCTTGGGTAGAAATACGAAGATACCGAATCTGCTTTGAAGGCTTTGTCCATATACTGTGATATTCGTGGTTGGAACCAAGAATTCAGACAGTAAATCTCACCAACCCAGACCAGTCAAGGTATCCACGCATTCCTTCAGCACCTCCCCTGCACACACATCCGCCAAAGACTCGAACCAGAATACAGCTCCATTCCATATCAATACACTGATCTAAAAGCTCCATCCTATAGCCCACACCTCAACGCCAAAATATACACCCATAAAGTTATCTTAGGCCCCATTCATCCGTCCAATTTCGACTCTAATCCTCCCCACTCAATTATCATGAATTGCATGTTTCGTCAAGCCTCCTCGTCGTGGCTCAATAAGCGGATGCCATTGTGCCAGAAACGTGATAGCTAAATAGCCGCCCGTTAGTACTTGTTTCCTGTTCTCCTTGGGAGGTTGTGAGATGCGTACCCCACATGATGTAGCAACTCGCGAACGAAAGGATCAGCGAGCTTCGCCAGATTCTGCGGACTTGTTAGCGAAATGTTCGGGGAGTGGAGAGTGTGAGAGGCGCGCGTACGTTTGTGTTTCGCCTTTGGGCGCAAAGAACCAGCCTGCTAGGCAAGCAAGCACCACTATGATGGCGCCGATGATGACGCTCCAGCTGTTTTGAAGAGGAGATGTTAGTACAAAGTCACAATACAGTTCCCCGGACCGAGAAACCTACCCGGTTGCCATGTTTGCTGGTGTTTATGAAGCTTCAAAGTTGTTGGGTGGTTTGGGAGAGCTGTTGTCTGGTCCTGTGTGATCCAATGGAGCTTGGAGGTGCTACGTCGGGCTTAGTCAGATATTAACTAATCGCGTGGAGTTGGGAGCTTAACTCCGACAACACCTGCAGAAACTCAACCCAAGCCTCACCACGCCGAGTCTTTGATGGAGATTTCTGCGTTTCGTTTTAATGAGCTTCAAGATTGATATGGAAGGGAGAGCGTTCTCATGCATTTTGTTCTAGCTCCTCGAAAATCAAGTTTGGACGGAGATATTATCATACCGCAGTCTCTCAATTTTATGTCTCTTTTCTCCACTCGGATCAAACTACCCTTCTACTGAGATACTAGATTCATACACTCCCTCACCCGGAATTCGTGAGGGCCAGATAATCACAATATGTAGTGGACCCGATACCCATATCCTTCGACGGCCTATGTAAAAAACATAGACCCTCTTGTCAGAGGGAGATACCATCCACATTCAGATATTGAAGTAGGTTTTACTTCTTCTCAAGTGTATTCTATTAGCTCTGGATTATAGAATATGGTGGTAGAAGAGCTTTCTCTACTTCACGTCCTTTTCTCACCCTCAAATGCTACATATGGTATTGAAATTCTCACCTATAGCATACACCAGCCTTCTTGTCACAATCGGAAGGTGCGAAGCCCAACCCCTCCCTACCAGTTATCGTTCGGTAACCCGGGCGCTCGATCAATTCTTTTTTGGGCCTTGGAAGCGGCTCTCCGGTCTTTAGACTCGATCGCTCCTTCTCTCTCCCACAGCAGTATCTTGTCAGGATACCAGAGACACTAGGTTGAAATTAGTCCCCAGTTGAGGCATAGATAGGAACCTTCTGCCTTTACAGCGTTTCTCTGTTGTAAGTCGCGCCTTACGGATTGTAAACCAAGTAGTTCTAACCCCCGAAATTGAATCTCCAAACGAGAAACAGTAAGATAGAACTCAACTCTGGCGATGCTATAATCGAGGAGTTGCTGCATTCCCTGATTGGGAAAGGACGACGTGGGGGTAGACTTCTACATTCGAAAAGGATTCAATAGCCACCAAAATGGCTCACCCAATATGTCCGCTACCTCCAAATTTGAACATTATGAACTTAATTCCATTGTGTCCTCATTGAGTCATTGTTCTGATTTCCGCTCAGCTGTTTATCAAGTGTTTCCTTATATCTCCCTCGCTTAGTGGCGCAACAGTGCACACTTCGGGATCCATCAGTAGGAACACCTGAACGTACTGTATGCCATTAAAAAAAATTATTTGGTGCCTGAGTAGTCTGCTGTTATTACTCACCAGTTATGATGGCTCAAATTCCTTCGAGCAATGTACAACATATAGTCAAGCGAATGTGACTGGCCATACATAAGGAAATGGAGCAATGGGGTCTTCACCGTCCATTTATTAGATACTGTTGGTAGTTGTATTAATCTTTGAGACCTTGTGGCAGTATTGCGGTACGTAAAATAACTGAGTTGAAGGCAGATAGATACTAGGCCAAGTGGAATTCATCAGAAATCTCTTTTTACATCTATTTCTCTATCCCTTAGCTCCCTATTATGGCCCCATCCACCACGTTCATGTCCTCTTCACAGACTCCTATACAACTACCTCTCAAGAAAGTAGTGGCACATGAAATACCATACGTTTCGTACTCAACCGTACCTCGGGCACCGGAGTAAATCTGAACTGTTTGGGGGGAGAATGAGTGACCTGAAGCCGCGAGAATGAATGTTGAGTTCCATATGTAAAGACAAACTCCTCGGTAACGTATCCTCCCTGCCGAAGAACAAGTGTACGAATATCACTCATGGTAATCTTGCGAAGAGGATGGCTTTGGCTAGGGAGCTATCATGATTTATGATACCGTAATTTATATCAATGCCATTCTACACAGTTATACCTCACCCAGCTTCCCGAGCCACTTTCCATTCAACTGTTATTCTCAAACTTGAGCCCGGCCTCCTTACGAACAGCGCCATAAATGGCCGCGATGTCGCCTTTCTCTCCCTTGTGCTCCTTTACCTGCACTAGATGGGCATCGGCTACCTCAACCATTCGCATTCTTGTGCCAGCCTATATCACCATAAGTTAGTTTCGGTTTTGAGCAGTCAAAGTCATAAGATATGACCTTCTCGTGGGGCCACTATGCTCGAGCTTCTAGGATCTCGGAATGCACTGCAGCTCCTATTCAAGCGCTAACAATCCCATATAAAGGAGAAAATTGGGTGTCCAAAAGCAAAAATTGTATAGATAAAAGTGAAAAGGCAATGACTTACAGTTTTAGCCAAATCCATAGCATGTCTCGCATCCTTCCTAGCAAGATCAACCGCAAACAAAGGCTCCTCTCGTTTATGATAATCGCCCGATAACATTCTGGTCGAATAAGTAGCATAAGGGCCTCCGAACAGAGCATCCACAAAACCATGAAGATGCTCAGTCCCTAGTCCACACTTCTCGGCCAACACATGGCTCTCAGATAACGCCTCAACCATATTGACTACAAATGTGTTTCCCACAATCTTCAACTGGAGAGCTTTCTCCACCGGCTCGTCGATGAAATCGATATCTGCTCGACCCATCACTCCTTTGGTGTAGGGTTTGACTTTTGAAACGCTTTCTTTTGGTCCGGCGAGGACGCAGATTAGTTGGCCTGCATCAGCGGCCGCTGGAGCTCCGAAGACCGGACAAGCTACAAATGAGGCTCCGGCTTCTGTGATCTTTTTAGAGAGTTCGGTGCTGGTGTTTGGGTGGATGGTGGAGCAGTCGACGAATACTTTTCCTTTTGGGTTGGAAGCCAGAGCTGTATCGATGGTTGAAGTTATGGCTGCATCATCCCCAACACATGTGAATATGATGTCTGACTTGGAGACCACTTCTTCGATGGTAGTTACAACGACGGATTTTCCGGATGGCAAAGTTTGAGAAAATTCTATTTGTTGGTTCTTTAAAATTGATGTTCTTCAAGGAGAAGGGACTATTGACTTATGGAATCACAGTATGAAATGGCAAGCACTGACCCGTCGCTTTTTTCTCTGTGCGATTGAATAGTATGAGAGGTTTATCCAGTTCTCCTTTCTCAACAAGATTCTTTGCCATTCCCTTACGATGCTTCATTAGCGGACTTACTGCATTAAGTGTCTAAGTGGTTGTCTCTTACCCTTCCCATGTTGCCCAGGCCGACGAATGCTAATTGAGGTGCCATGTTGCTGGAGTTGTAGATGGGAATTGAGGTATCTTGTCTGGGAGAGGAGATAATGTAACTGATGGAATAATGAGATGTGCTAAGAAGTGGGAGTAGCGAGTCTTATGTGACAGTTCCAGGCCCAACTAGTCATCCAACATTCGTTACTCGAAAGTCAGTCTACAAGATCCGGGTCTCCCAAAGCCATCTAGAGGAGAAACAATATAAGCATATATTACGAAGTTGGACTTCAGCTTAAAAGTTATCCACAATCGTCCATCAAGAAGTGCCAACTAGCTGAATTGAGATCTTTAATGGATGCCTGTGTCTTTACTGTGTCACGCTTTTCCATTGTCTAATATGGTATAGCTGACATGACAAAGGGTTTCTGATTACAATGACTGAGAGGAGACATTTCAACACCTACTTCAATTGACGTTCTAATGTATCTGTGCCTGAAATGCAAGCTTTGATATGACCTCACAAAAAACTGAAAGTGGGGCTAGCTTATGGTATCGGTATCGATAAGAGCTCCTAAGGTCCGGGATCGGACTCGGCTTCCCCCTCCCTCCAGGTCCTTCGACAAACCTTCCCCACATGAGGTGATCCCCAACCTTGGAAAATTTATGCCATGTGCAGCATTTGTATTACTAAACTGCCGATTCGAAGCTTCCTTCAATATGCACAATGGTATTACAGAATATCGCCTTGAAGAAGGGCAAAGAAGTGGCTGGTCATAATGTCAGTATTGTCGCATTCCAGTTCGCATGGATTCCATTTGACTGACTCTGAATAGCTACAACAATGGTCGAAACGAAATAATGGCATCCTTCACCGCAATGACGAGGGCACACGATATCACTCTGTGGAGTCGAGTTCGAACAAACAACTGAGAGAGGAATTGGCGAAGGAGCATGTGAAGGAATTATCCAACAAGCAAAAGGCGAAGAAGGAAGCACGCGAGATTGATAAGGTGCGCAGCTTGAAGCTTTGGACGAGCCATTGATCTTGTTACTCACATCCTGCAGGATTTTTTCATGTCAGTATTGGGATCTACAGCGACAAAACGAGAGGCAAAAGCATACCTCCAGCGATTTAGTCCCCCAAAGACCTCTGAACCGAGACCTCCAACCCCGGAACGGAAACACCAAACATCCAAGCCTGGTGTCAATTTAGGCGTTTTCTATGCCCCAACGGCAGTAGAGGGAAGCCCTAAATTTGTACAACATCCTTATACCCAGAAAAAAACGGAGTCAGAGCCACAGTTGCATGTAGCCTTGGTTAAGATTAGAGCACCCCAGGAACTGGATGATAAAACTCTCAGCGGGGTTGGGAGAACCCTCTCACAACTAGCTCGACTGGGGTTGATAAGCGTGGTCGTGGTGGACTGCGATGGGCGAACGAATGGTGCTTCGGTTCAGACACCCAATTGGAGAGACTTGTCAACCCAACAAGCAAATAGGGTCGTCACGGCGATAGATTCAAATAACAGTAAAGGGGCAAGGCTCGTGGATAATGTTATAGCAGTCAATGAGGAATCTGAGACGCCAAAATACGGATCGGTCACTCAAACAAACGCCCATGTCATCCTCAGGACGCTCTTGATGACACCCCTAAAACGAGGAATAATTCCTGTTTTACCGACTACAGCCTATACGAACCTCACACAGACTGCTGTACCAGTTACTGGCTCCGATACTGTTCTTGCTCTGCTGAAAGAATTGGCTGGACTTCCTACTGAAATCCCGTATGATGAAGATCCTATTGAGGTTAAAAAACGCATGGAGAAGCTACGTTCTGAGATTTCCGTGGATAGGCTCATCATTTTGGACCCTTTGGGAGGCGTTCCCACTCCCAATCGTCCAAATGGTTATCATGTTTTCCTGAACATGGAGCAAGAGTTTGAGCCAGCCAGGCACGATCTACTGAGAGGCATGGATTCAGAAAACACCTCCAACATAGTCCTGACTTCAATCAAGAAACCCAGTGTGTCTGGCATAATGAAGAGTAATCCGGTTTCAAAGCTTGTTGAACAAGAATTTGGAAGCCTCGCCCAGGAAGCAGCTACTGCGCCAGATATTCCCTCACCAAGTAAACATGCAAATTCATACCATTTACAAAATCTCAAACTGGCACGTTCTGTGCTCGCCTTGTTACCTCCGAGTTCATCAGCAATTCTTACAACTCCCGACGAAGCTGCAAATTCAGGAAGATTCGTGCCTTTTCAACCTGGTGGGGTTGGCACAAGACGCAGCAGAAATCCCTTAATACACAACTTACTCACTGACAAACCAGTGTTTTCTTCCTCGCTGCCAGTAGGACGATTGGGACAAAAAACTGCATGCTCACTCGAAACCTTTCCAAACCCAGCTTCAACTGTCACACCAACCACATTTGCAAAGCATGGGATGCCCATTACAATTTTCCCAAATCCCGTAACTACCAGATGGGAGCCACCTATGTCTGGCAAGCCACAAATTGCATTGACGGACCCACGAATTGATCTTCCACGTTTAGTACACTTGATCGATGATTCTTTCGGACGCAAACTTGATGTGAGCGAGTACCTCAAGCGAGTTGATGGGCGAATAGCCGGAGTCATCATTGCAGGCGAGTACGAAGGCGGTGCTTTATTAATATGGGAGTTGCCTCCAGGAGTAGTCGATGATGGCAGCCCCGAAAGTAGAGCAAGAATGGTACCATACTTGGATAAATTCGCGGTTCTAAAGAGATCACAAGGCTCGGGAGGAGTTGCAGATGCTGTCTTCACCGCCATGGTGCGGGACTGCTTCCCCAATGGAGTGGTCTGGAGGTCGAGAACGACGAACGTGGTTAACAAATGGTATTTTGAGAGATCTAGAGGGACCTGGAAATTGCCCGGCACGGGATGGACGATGTTTTGGACTACGCCGGATATGGATCGCCAGACCTTTCTGGATTATGAGGGTGTGTGTCGGGGGATCGAACCGTCGTGGGCTGATGGGAAAAAGACGTTGGATTAATGATTAGAAATGACTCGAAGGACGGTCAGGAATAAAGAGATGCCTACAAATATACTGAATGAAACTCCATCGTCTTTGCTACTTTTGGAACAGGTGAGAGAACGAGGTAATGTTCTCCGTCAAGAACTCATCTATGGAATATGTATGGTCTTGAGCGTATTGGAACCCCTTTCTATCCCAACATATCAACAGGAGAAGGACTCTCTGCCAAACCCTCTTATCTTCCTCTACCGAGTCTACCTATTGTTACCTCATCTATTCCGGAACAAAAAAGTTATACCCACGATTTAAACTCGCGATCTACAAAGCCAACACCCTTCCCCTCCATTCCTCGCCCCTACTGAAACCCTGCTAAAATAAGCCCCCAAGTACAACGACATCTTCCTGTTCCCCTTCATAGTAGGCTTGCTTGTAAAAGTATCACCCTGCAGGCCATGATCAAAATATAAATCCCTTCAAGCATACAAACAACTCTGGACCCTTGACTACCATCACAACCTAGGTACAAACATACTTTCAAAGATAACATTGACACACGCAAATGAACAGTAAAAAGTTATTTGTAATTCACAAGTAGAGTAGAGAAACATCATGTACACTTTAAGAGAAGGAAGTTATTTTTTAATAGCATGTATTAACTACCCAGTGCAATTAGTTCAAGACCTAGCGAGCAAAGAATGAAGACAACCCCTGAACAAGGAGTCATGTTGCTGAGAAGTACACACACCCTTTTTTCATTCGTAGCTAACAGACAAAAGAAAAGAGGCCAAAGAGAGAGTGAGTGCACGCGCGAAACGTCCCAAAGCTATCATAATAATTACAGAGTGACCCAAAGAAAGCTGGCCCACACAAGCGCGAGAAGAAATTTAAAGGAAAAACAGCCAGGTATTCGGGTCAATTTTTTTACGATCTCTCGCCTACCCCGTGTCTTTTTCGGTTCGTCCCTTGCATGTAAGCAAAACTCCCCCAGATCCACCCATTCAGCGGGGCAGCCTCACAGAAGCTGGAATGTCAAACCCACCCAATGCTCCTCCGCTCTCCATCGCCACGCTGTATTAAGGATCAATGATTAAAGAGACAAGAAGTGAAAGTAAAAAGGAGCTATGTGTCGCATCGCTGTAGTGAGGGTATATCGGTCGAATCGGTCAAGGCGCCTTAGCGGAGTGAGAATCCCTTCCTCTTGCCTTCCTTTTCTATTGGTCGTCCACTCTCGATTCTTGACTTCTTCTCTTCTAACTCTTGTCGCTGCTTCTCCAGCTGCTCCTTCATCTCGCGATGACGGCTGTATAGCTCCTCCTCGCTCTGCTTCAACTTGTGCTCCTTCTCGGCAACCTTCTGTTGGAACACAGTCTTCATCTCGGCCTCCATCTTGGCGAGCTTCTGCTCGTGTAGAGTTCGCTCCTCCTCTTGCTTGACAGCTGGGTTGACCTCCTTGAAGACACTTGGATCCTGTGCAACACCCATGGCGGTGAGCTTTTCGGATCTGTAGTTTTCGTACAAAGCGTTGCTTGTGTGCTCCTTCAACTCCTCCATGTGTGTTCGGATGAGCATTTGACGAAGCTTTACAAAGTCGCAGTGCTCCTCGTTGTCCACCTCAATGATACCCCATGGGTAGGCACGGCCACGAACTTTACGTCCATCGGCACTGCTAATCTCGGAATTGGCACCAACAACGGCGAATGGAACTTTAGACATAATCTCGTTGTTCTCAGCAATCGTCTCTTCGTCATCAAGTTCGTATCGAGGACCTTCAAATATTTGGATATCATGGTGCTTGATATCAGCAAGAATCTAATCAATTATTTAGCGTGATAAAAATGTGCGAGGAAGAAATTGCTCACTCTTGACTTGAAGGCCAAGATCTCCTCATCAGTCATCGTGTCAGCTTTTGCGATGACTGGAATAAGGTTCACCTTGGTATGAAGTCGGCGCATAACTTCAATGTCCAATGGCTTTAGAGCGTGACCAGTTGGTTGAATGAAGTAGACACATGCGTGAACTCTGTTATCCACAATGTTCATACGGTTGACCTTGTTCTCAGCATCCAGGTAGGCATCAAAGCGCTGTTCAATGTTATCCACAATTGGGCGCCAGGATTCGTCATTGTTAACAAAGTCACCGAAACCTGGGGTATCAACAACTGTCAAACGAAGGCGAACACCATTCTCCTCAATATCGGCGCTTATAGATTGAATAGCAACGGTTTTTGGAATGATATCAAGAGAAGGCCCCTTTCGCTCCCGAGGTGGGTATAAGGAGGTGCTGAAGAGGGTGTTGACCAAGGTAGATTTACCGAGCCCAGATTCACCTGTGGATGTTAGTACAGGCTGGGAACTACTGCGCATAAATTACTCACCAACGACCATAACATTGAAGTTAAAGCCTTTGCGCACACTCTTTCGGTGCCATTGATTGGGCAGATTTGCGAACCCAACATAACCAGTCAACTTTCGTCGAACAATATTTCTCATATCACTGGCTTGTTGGGCGGCAATCTTGGGATCGCTTGAGCTCACGCTTTGTGGCATTTCCGCCTGCTGTGGGGAGACAGGTTTTCCGTTTGGTGCAGGTGATGCTCTTGCAGCCGCTGGGGCGGCGCCATTGGTAGCTGTGTAAAAACATAAAATGTCAGTCCAATCATTCGTAACGTGCTTTTGCGCCTTTTCAACACTCTGTTCGTTGAAGCACTCCTCCATCGACTTCTCTGATGGTATATCAAGAGAGTAGAAGCTTGATGATTCCTCAACATCCAACATGCTGCGAAATTGATTAGATGAATCAGGACGCTGACGACGACCCCTGGCATGAGGATATGTGCCGAAGTGACCAGCACTATCGTCACCCCCAAAGGCCATCATGGTTGTAGTAGTTGGACCACTGGCGGACCGAGACTGGGCCAGAAGACCTGCCAACGAGGCCATGGTTGATGTTTCCAGTGACAGCAATGGATGAGGCTCACTCCAGCTGGTGATGAGGCAGAGAAGCGATGGTTTCTAGCCGCATGCAAGGTCGTCCAGTACGCAGTTCAACGGATGCTGCAGCTCAATGGCCACTGGGGAAGGATGTGTTGGACTGGCGGATGATTGTTGCTGCAGGTATTCTCGTGCCGCAAGCGAATGTAGTCCAGCATTCGTACGCGGGTATTTGCTGGGAAGGACTTGAAAAAAAAAGATTGCTTACCCATTGTCTTGATTCCGATGGAGAAGGTTCGACGAAGGCCGTTATGGAGGAAGGCGCTGATTCAATGGGTTTGGAATCTAAGGACGAAGCTTTCAAGTTAGCTTCCGTGTAAACTTGCACCTCTTCTATCGCCGGAGTCGGAGCACAGCGAAAGGCAGAAGACTCGCCCTCGCCTGCCAGTGCCAGCGCAAAGGATGGCCGATAGCTGCTGATAGCTGATAGCTGCTCGCAGCCGACCCAAGGGGAGCAGGAGGAGATATTATGCACTGAAGGGGGATGGAGTGAACACGTACCGACAAAAGTGGCCTAGAATTGAAGAGTCGAAACTGGCAGTGGTGGCAGGAAGAATGAAGGACAGGAAGACTGCAGTAAGAATCGAACTGTCTGGCGCGAGTCTCTAGTCAGTACGAGGTGATGTTGAAAGATGTAACAAAGTTTTGGGAGATGGTCGTGGATCAGCCACGGCAAAAGGGGTCATATAGACAGGGATGGGGGCGATAGGTGCCAAAGCTGTGAAATTAAATGGTGCGGTGCCTGGGGGGGGAGCCCGCGTGCAGTGGCCGACCAAGCCCACGACTAGCTGCAGTTGAGGAAAAGGGATGGGCATTAGGACATCACGTACCGGGCTGGACTGGACTGTACGGTACTGAAGACTGATGAATTGATCGGTCGGTCAGTCAGAGGCAGAGTAGGAATGTGAAAGAAGCAGCGCAGCAGAAGCAGAACAAGGGGAGAAAAAACGAGGGTGAGAAACGTAGGACCTGTGTTTTTCTGTAACCCAAAGAGATGCAGATGCAGTGCAGACACGAAGGCAGAGAGCAGAGAGCAGAGAGCGGCGACTGCGATGGGGACAGCGACCGACCTCTTGATATTTAGAATTACTTGTACTGTCCACCTCCACCCCCTAATCTGCCACGCCCAAAGAAGCTTAGCTGCTCTGGCTGGGGTAGCTCCGTATCACGTGCTCTCCACTAGCGTCCCCGGCCCACCGATTTATTTCTCCGCATCCACTGCCACTGCCCAATGGCCAATGCACGCACGCCACTGGCGAATCACCACCAAGTCTCATGGGCTCCTGGGCTCCTCCTTCTTTGCGCACGTTGATCTGTCTGTGCGTAGAACATCAGAACAACACCCCAAGAGATTGACAAGCTCTATCATATGGAGACTGGTGGATTGTAGGTCTCTGTCATCTCATCTACTCAACGATAAGGATACGGCCATTTCGCCTATATCTTCGCTTCATCTTCGAGTTCATCTTCGAGTTCATCTTCGAATGCATCTTCGAGGCGCGTGAGCTGGTCAGGTACTTGAATAAAGCAGTCGGGTCAATCCTGGAGAACGTGGTGGTGGCGTCCAAAAGTACATCGCATCATGTAAGTGATCTGCAGAACGCGTTTGCAGGCTGCCACTTAACGGATGTGCAGCTTCATCTCGCTTCGCCTGACTTTGAAATTTGGAGGGAGACCAAAGTATATCTTCAGTCTTCGGCATTGAAGCGCAAATCAACCACTCGTCAATTGTTTGTAGGCTCTGGACACCATTTTCATCTTGTCCGGATTCTCTCCAACCCACTTTCCGTTAGTTGTTTACTTTCTCCCGCATTCGGATGGAATCTCATAACGTTCCTTCTAAAAACGTATGAAACTGTGGCAGGTCTGCAGTTCGTCCTCCTTTCATTCTGGTTCCTTCTTACCAAAAGAAGATCTCAATGTCTACTCAATCGAGCGAGAGGAACAACATGGATTCGAAGCAGGAGTTCAAGTTATTCCCGAATCTTCCTATGGAGCTCAGAAAGATGATTTGGCACTTTACATTGGAACCCCGTCTCGTCAGTGTATCTTGTGGTTCTTTTTGTCATGAAAATATCTCGCGGCCTTCTTCGTGCAAAGGCTTCTTCACCAACACTCCTCCTCCACCGGCTCTATCTGTCTGTCAGGACTCACGTGAAGCTATCATGGGCAGTTACCCTCTCCGTTTTGGAGGCGCATTTACCTCACCAAAAATCCGCTTCAATTCTGATATCGATACTCTCTTCTTGGACGACGACATGGATCCTCATTACGCTCTTTTCTTCAATTCGTTGAGAATCAAGGATTTAACATGTCTCAAACGATTGGCAGTTTCCGATATTGCTGAGAGCTATGTACAGCCGTGGCGGATCGAATCTGTCCCAGGTGGGTATGTTATTAAAAGATACGGCATCCTTGATGTCGTCGTCCCCCAAATGAAGAATCTCGAGGAGATATACAACGTGCAAATTCCGACAAATGAGATGGAGGACGACGTTCCAAGTGGACAAGGTCCAATGCAGCTTTTCGACAAGCTACCAAAAGGTCTATTAGAGAAGGGTTATGGATATGATTATGTTAGCGATTCTCTTGTCGAGGACCCGCCAAGAGGCCTGTTTGATTTAGCCGGTGTAAAGGTTATCGAAGTTTGGGGTTGGTGCCCAACAAAAGAATGGCTGAAACATGGATATGTGAAGGATATTTGATTACATGATCCAAAGCACCTATGTTCCTTTGCTCTGTACATTATCTTTCGAGCACGCTAGTACAAGGAGGCTATTTGGTGCGGCCCGAGACACGGCGTTGTCACTAGCTTTTTCCCCAAGACATACACCTGTACACTGCAGCATGCATGATGGCGCTGTCCTGACTGCATAACCTTGCTATCCTCCCTCTCAATGTGTAACTACTTAGCTAGCCTCCCCCATTACACAACATCAGATGATCATTCAAATGTCTCCTATCATTCACACTTGAGTCCTACTTCTCTGCGACACGATTCCCACTCTGACGATACTTGCTCTTTGACGATCCAATGAATTCCCCTCCGGTCCAGCCTGCTCGGTGTGTTCCTTAATATATATCCTGGTCCTCTTGACACGTTGTTAACGAGATCTTTTGCTTTTATTGGATCAGCTGGACTCGAGATCGGGTTTGGCGTGTTGCCTGTGGCTTCCTCAAGTTCCTCTTCATTGCTTTGGGCTGAACATGTAGGAAATCGTTGGGTAAGGCTTTTGCTTGTGTCGAGCTTTCTGGAGGGGTCGATAATGTCCCTTCGAAGGGCTTGAATGTACTGAGCAGGAGCAGGAGCAGTATTAGGTGCTATGAGCAGGTTTGTAGGCCTGTGCTGTCTCCTGAATACATGTGTGCGAATTAACTACATACTTCGTAGAACTCGAATCCTCAAGACACTTCCTCAACTACCGCCGGAAGTCAGTCTGAAAAAGTCCCATCTACTGTAGCTGACAGCATGATATCGGAATAGCAACCCGAATCAAGGAAATATTTCCCTGCTCCTCCCTCAACAGGGTAGACATACATCATCACTACATCACCTAGCGACCGATGGCGTAAGAGTTCCCCTCACTCTCCTTTACGTACTCCTCCTCGAGTGTCACCCCTGAGGCTACCTTCCTCGAAATCGATTGGAAGACTGGAAGTCAGGCTTCTGAATCCTCCTAGACGGTTTTCGTTTCCGTGATCGTGTGGGTGTGTTAATGTCACGCGGTTTATGTGAGGGCCGTTCTGGGGTTCTTAACCCCCGTCTTGGAGAGCTGGTGGATGTGTTGGAGGGGATAGGCGGCAATGATGTTTGGATACTGGGGGTTTCCGGGCAAGGATGGTGGGGGGTTGATTACTCTTCGCCTTTTGGTTACGGAGAATGCTGTTCCTGGGTTTGTGTATGTCAGACACTGGGTTGGTTGTAGGTAAGTGACCGGACGTCTGAGTGCTTTGAGTTACTTGCCATGTGGGTTGTCGAGTGCCTTGGAGTTAAGATAATGATGGGAGCTGAGAAATATCGCTAGAGAAGTTTCTAAAGTAAACTGTCAAGAACTTAATTACATCTGTCGTTCTAGAAAAATGGAGTTGCGGTACTATTCTCCGCATACACTTTAACAGCTTATACTGCTAAACTTAAATGTAGGTATTTACTCCGCTACTTCTTCTATGAAATGCTATTCACATAGTTATAAATGGATATATATCCCAACCAACTTCATTGAAAGAGTTTGCTTTATCTTTTTACTACACCAGTGTTGGAGTAGTAATGATTGTCAAGGAAAAGATTCTTCGCACCAGAAATACAGTTCTAAGACGTGCGTTTACGAATCGGTCAACTAATCTGGTTAATTTGTGATTAATTAGATTGGATCTTAGCCAGACCTTGAATTTGTCTGGTATGAACTATTCTACTAACTTTCGGTGGATAATAAATGTAACGAAGAATCTTCTGGTATTAGCTTAACTTGACCTTAGATGTTTCAACAATTCAAGTTTTTGAAATAATTGAAACAGTTTAAATCGGAAATCTAGGACAATTGAGTGAGATAATTTATTATTCTTGGGATATCTAAGTACTTTGGGTTATGATAGACTTGGGCTGATAGAAGTGGAGTAAATCTCTACCTCTTTTGTTGTCTATCTTGAGACTGGGTATAAGGGTCCAATAACAAGGTGTACTGATATCTTTGTATGTGATCAAGCTATTTTAAATGATTGGTTGTATTGTAGCCTGGAAGATATAAAAGAGTGCGTAAGAACAACAAACAGAAACCAAAAGAAAGAAAAATACAACCACAAAATGCAAAACACAACCCCAAAACAAATAACCAACGCAATAAAAATGCAAACGCAACACCCAAGTGTACTCAGAGAAAAAAACACCAGCCCATGCATCTCTACCACCATCCCCTTTCCAACCCCACAAAAGAAAACCCAAACGATAAAAAAGTACTTAATCAAGCCATACACCTTAACCCAGGCTGAAACATCAACTCCTCCCCTTCCCCCCTCCCCCCT